AACACGTAACTTTTTATCCCACCTCAACGAGGAAATTACTAAATGCAAATAAACATTTACGTGGGACACTCAGAAAGTTTTGAGAAACTAAAAAACTAACTTCTATGAAAAAAATATTTTTATTAAATCTTTTCAAAGAACTCTCCACCAGCCTCTATACAAAGTTTCGATTTTCAAATCATTTTTTCCAGGCCTCCATTGACACCTCTTCCACGCCCTTCTCAAACGCTGCTAGCGCTTCTTCCGGCGACGAAAATTGTATCACTTTGAGCTGATTTTTTTATTTTAGGGAATATAAAGAAGTCACACGTATCCAAATCAGGACTATAAGGAGGGTGTCCCAAGACTCTGGCTGATGTGGAGTGCAGGAAGTCCTTCGTTTTGATCGCAGTGCGCAGGCGCGTTGTCGTGGTGAAGAAGCACCCCGCGGAGAACGGTGTTAGGGCGCTTGTTGCTCATTGCAGAAAAATCTTCTGGCAGGCATTTTGTGCTGTACCATTAGACGTTGATGCTGCTTTGGTCTCGAAGTGGAATTGAAATTAGGTACCCCGTCAAAGTGAAGAAACTAGCGATCAAAATTTTCCCTGCGCTCCCCGATCGCTTCATTTTCGTAGACGTTGGTTCATTTTGAAACAGCCAAACTGTCGACTGACGCTTTGTTTCCGGATCGTATTGATAAATCCAGGATTCGTCAACTGTCACAATATCGTAAACACGCCGTGACGAGCCTGCATCAAATTTTTGTATCATATCACTGCACCAATCTACACGGGCCTGCTTCTGAGCTTCGGTGTGGTTGTGTGGCACCCAGCGGGAAACTATGATGTTAAAGAGATCTGTATGATGTTAAAGAGAGGGTCTGGGTTGTTGATCGTCATCTTGACTGATCGAACTACCCGCTCTCGCTTCCTCTTCTGTCGCCTTTTCACCCTCTAGCCACCAGTCCATACGTTCAGCACCCTCCTCTTCCATGCTGGATTGTCGGGCCGGTGAAGGGTTGAAGGCCGATGTTGTCGGTGTCAAAGCCGGTGGTTTGTTGGCCATACTCACGCCTAGATTCTCCCTCGGTAGATTTGGTGTGGTGGCCGGTGGTATCTTCTCCGTGGACGGTCGATCGGCTGCCCCCGACGAGAAGCGGACGTAGATAGACCCGAGCTTATAAGCAACGCGTCTATCCCTCGCGAGAAGTTTCGCCACATCATCCTGGGGTATACCCACCAGGATGAACAGCTCCTCCTTCTCCTCCGTCTTTACCGTGTGGTACAGCGCCCATTGATTAATATTGTACCACGGATTCTGGGTAGCCAGCCTCATCCTCAATTGGTCGAGGTTTTCGCCCTTGTATCGTGGCACAATGATGGAGGCTTTCACCCACTTCGGAATCTCCGATTGACGTTTTACCGTCAATACGGTTCCCGAGATGGGAGACCTGATGGTATTAATTGTTTGGCGCAGCCATTCTAGCGAATAGTCGTCCTCGCACCAAAGTTTGAGGACGCCCTCCGACCAGAAGGCTTTGCCACGGAATGCCGGTGAGCGGGATGACATCGTGGACGGTCCATAGATCTGTTCATCCAGAGCCCCCTCGATGTCTTCCTCGGTTTTAGAGGCCTGTACCTCAGTCAGGTCCTGAAATGGTTTTTTTTTTTTTTTTTTTATAGATAGGTCCGACAAATGACTCCACCCCACCTGATGTTAAGTGGAGGTGAAGTCCAGACGCGAAGATAGCTGATACAGCAGTTCTACCTGCCACACCAGCCATCCTCACCCTGCCGGCCTGCATGTTGCTTCTTCACGCCTCTTTTAAAGGATCCCAGGTTGTAAGAGGGAGGGAACACGTGAGCGGGCAGAGCATTCCATTTACGGATAGTACGACAAAGAAATGAGTCACCAAATTTCTTTGTACGTTGGAATTGTAGCCACAGTTAGACGGTGACAACGTAAGCCAGCGCGCGTGGTCCTCTGAAGGAAAGGGGAAGGTGGAATAAGAGAGAATAACTCCTCAGAACACTCGCCGTGGTACAGACGATAGAACGCACTTAGTGACGCCACGTCACGGCGTAATTGAAGAGGCTCGAGGTGTTTAGACACCTCCTCATCACCTATGATGCGTATTGCGCGCCGCTGTAACCTATCCAAAGCATCGAGCAAGTACTTGGCGGAGCCATCCCAGAGGTGCGAGCAATATTCCACGCAAGACCGAACCTGCGTCTTATATAACAAGCATAGTTGCTCGGGCGTGAAAAAACGCCGCACTTTGTTCAGGACTCCGAGTTTGCGTGAGGCTGTTTTTATCACACTTTCGATGTAATTTTTTGGATTTAAGTCACAGCGAATCTCCTTACCGAGCATGGTGATACTGCTCTCTAGCTCCAGTGTTGTGCCCTGAAGAGAAGGACATAAAAGGAATGGCGACGTTTTTGCCGTGAAAGCGCAGACCTGGGTTTTCTTAGCATTGAACTCAACCAAGTTCTTGGTACCCCATTCAGAAATGTGGTCCAAAGCCTGATTGAGTTCAATGACAAGATTCTCCCGTTTCTCCTTGGTTACCGCCTGCCCAGCCGCTGCTTGTCCGAGATACCCCGCATGCACTGTACTGTCGTCTGCATAGCAATGAATATTCCCAAGAGGAATTAGGTCATTGATATGCAGCAGAAAGAGAGTGGGGGATAGGACGGAGCCCTGGGGAACGCCGGCATTCACTGACATGAACCGCGAACTGCTACCATCCGTAAGGACACGAATTCTACGCTCATGCAGGAAGTCAGCTACCCAAGAACAGAACTGGGCCGGCAGACCGTATGCCGGAAGCTTGGAGAGAAGGCTTTTGTGCCAGACCCTGTCGAATGCCTTGGCAATGTCTAGGCTGATAGCCAACGACTCGCCCCGCTTGTCGATAGCCTCACCCCAGATATGAGTCAAGTACGCTAGAAGATCACCCGTCGATCGTTTCGGTCTAAAACCATATTGACGATCATTAATCAGGGAGTGATCCTCTAGGTAGCGGGTCAGATGGTTGTTAAGGACCTTTTCTAGGACTTTACATAATACTGAAGTGACTGCTATTGGCCGGTAGTTTGCCGGGTCTGAGCGATCCCCTTTTTTGGGTACCGGTTGCACGTTAGCATCTCTCCAAGTCTCCGGCACACGCCCCAAAGAATACGAGCACTGGTATAAACGCGTGAGCACGGGAGACAACTCCGCTGCACATTTTTTCAATACTACTGCTGGGATGCCATCAGGTCCACTAGCTTTCCGGACGTCGAGTGATTGCAATTCGGCACGAACCTCACGCTGCCTGATTTTGATATCAGGCATCGTTATGCCACAATGAGGTAATAATGGTGGCTGTGCATTGCAATCATCGATTCGGGAGTTAGCCGCAAAGAGTTTTGCCAGTAAATCGGCTTTCTCCTGGGCTTAGGAGTCGTCTAGTGTTCCGTCTGGACATCTCAGAGGTGGCAGCGAGGGCTGGCAGAAGTTCTTTTGCACGGCCTTGGCCAAACGCCAATAGCTACGGGAGCCCGTAGGATGCGTTATAAGTTCGTGACCAACACGTGCAACGCGCTGGGCATCCGCTCTGATGTATGCCTTCTTACAGGCCTTGGAAGCAATATTGTAGGCTGCTTTTAGTGAATCGACCCCGGGATCCTTAAGAGCGCGACCTCTGATCCAAGCACGATATGCCGCTTGCTTACGCGAAGCAACTGCGACGCAGAGGTCATTGACCTTCAATGCGTCCGCGTAATTAACAGCTGAACCCTTCGGACCTGTCTTTGGCCTCTTGGTATCCCCTCTGGGCGATATGGTGTCATCGGGACGTCCTCTCTTCGAGGGTATCGAATGGGACTTTTTTGGCCAGTAGTTCCGGGCTTGTCCCGATCGTTTGCCGCGCGGTCGCAACAAATCGTTGCCGTGCTGCTCGTCGTCCGGATTCTTAGGTGCCTTTTCGGCAGGTTTCTCACCAGTTGGCCGGCTGGCGCCAGCCGTACCGGTGGGCTCCTTGCTTACACGGGCGGCGTGAGTCGCAGCGGACTCTTCAGCAGCCTCTGGCTGCTTACTCCCCCCAGTCTCCAACGCGCGCATCTGCCTCGCAATAAAGCGCGCTTTCGCGCGGCGTCTGTTGCGGAGTACGTTGGCCGGTGTTGCATCGGTCAACGACTTCTTCGGCGGTGGCAACGGTTTCTTTGGTGGTTTCACGGACGGTTTGTCAGTGACCTTTCTACTCCGGACCTCCACGCTCCAGGACGCAGTCGCCTTCGGGGTAATATCCGGGATTGCGGCACCGATAGTTGATAGGTCCATGACCTCCCGTGTCGTGACGGTGTTGTTACGTGGCGCATCCGAAGACGCGGCCGTGTGCGTGTGGGTAGCCTGCGCTTCCAAAGCAGCGGGCTTCCGCGCATCCGAAGACGCAGCCCTGTGTGGTTGCTTAGCCTGCGCATCCGAGGACGCAGCGGGCTTGTTGGTGTTGGTCAAAGAATTATTTTGTTTTAAATGTTCCATGAGTGTTGGTGTTAAAGTTCATTCCCAGCGGCTTTCCACCCTCCTCGGAGCCCGCAAAGTGGGGACGCTGCACACCATTGTGTGTACATGCGCCAGAAATACCCCGGGAATATGGACTCCAGCCCCGTGGGTTTACGTCCGGTAACCAGTTTTGGGTTGCCACGCTTTCGCATGGGTCCGCAACCGGGCCAAACGCTCCCGCCAGTTCAGAGTCCTCGCCTGACTTGGATGTTACTAAGTCAAGCTGATTGACCCCAGTTGGCTACTCTGAGGCCTCCCGTTTAGGCTGAAATCAGGGCCAAAGAGGCGTGTTGCTGTGGTGGTCACCAACAGCTCAACCTCCAGGATCCCTTCATCCCTCCGCACGGGTCTCCACGCACGGCAAACACGCGGGTGGTCAAATTCAACCTGCCATCCTGGTTTTTTGGATGACTGGCCCATGTCGGCGTGACCACGTCGTCGATTATGGCGGATTACGATAAGGATGCATAGGAATGGGATGGATGAGGAATTCTATGGGAGATGCGTCAGGTATTTTCGGTTGCACTCTTCAACAAAAGGCTGAACAATGCGTAACAGGTGGCAACCGCGGGAAGGATAATATACCTGGCTTGCCTTAGGGATCTACACGACTGTAGCGCTCTCCCCTAAGGCCATTCGCCTAATCACACATCGGACAGGTGTGTGAAAAAGGGGCGTGCTTAGACCAACCCTGCTTCAAGGAAACTTTACTGGTATTAAGCCCACCCCCACCCGTCCCAACACGCACACGCTTTTTTTGTATTGGTGCTTCCAAGGAAATTCGACCGAAATAAAAAAAAGGAAAAAATATGCATAGCGCTATGTATGGAACCGCACTCACCGTTGGATGGCTCGTTATTTTGAACTTTCGAACAATGTATACAACCTACGTAAATTCCGTAAGTGTGTTGAAAAATACATAATTAGTACCTAGTACCTATATGATACGGAACTCGATAACTTTGTGACAAATAGTCCCAAGTACTTAGCACAATTTTCCCTTTTATCCAAAGCAACTTCTAACGCTTCAAACCGTTGACTCGACAAGGTCTTTTATTGCGATGGATGGATGACAACATAATTTTATTCAATAAAATTTATTGGAGTTGAAGCTTAGAACTGAGCATTAAATGTTTATACTTGTCCTATGCATTTGTACTCAACTGGTCTTATATTGAATTTAATTGTGACTTAACAAACATACAATGAGCGGAGACACGTAAGCAAAATTATGTGAATTTTTGTGCTGATGGTGGTTGATGAATCTATCTGGACCCTATAAATAATAAAAATATAACTTATTTCAGAAAAATAACTCCAATGTCTTTAAAATACATGCAAATTTGTCGTTTGTTTTTAATTACTGTGGGGGTGTGGCCAAACATACACGGGGAAGCGTACATAAAGGTCCAAGCGTACTATCGGTGCTTCTTAATTATGCTTGGAACAACTATCTGCTTGGGTTCCATTAACTACATAGTGCAAACTTTCCATATCGTTTCTTTTTTTCTAATTGGTGATGTTTACATAACTTTATTTTTGGCCATTGTCATAAATGTAAGTATTCAAATACAATCACTCTACCTAACCTAAATATAAATATTTTTTATGCAAGTGTAAATATTGGAAGTATATGCCATTACATATTTCCGATATGAGGAACTTATTCCTACCTTTATGAAATTGTTGATTAAATATAGTATCGATAACAAATTATAAGTATCTGTAACTTAGTATTTACATTAAATTTTAATACATTTTTTATGTTTAAACAAATAAGTATTTTCAGGTCCGACGCGTTATGCCGTGGTTTGAAAAACATGCAATAATTGCAAACAACTTTGTGTCAAAATTCCATTTAATTCACTTTAAACACAAAGGGGGTCACTTTGCAACGGTTTGTGTCGTGTTTTATACCCTAATTCATTATTGTTAAACAACTATGTTGTAAAACTGTCAAATGATGGTATGCATAAATTAGCAATTATTTTTTAAGTTTTACGATGCTGTACCCTACCCAATGGGTACATAAGGCCTGAGATAAATGAATGGTCACTCTACTACGGTAGAGTAGATACCGCCGGCGTACTTGCCAAATGCGGCAACAAATATTACACCGAAATCGGCGTACCCGACCCCGAGCTAGAGTATAATGTTAAATAGGTGCTCATTGGACCCAATTCTGGCGTGATTTCTAAACTTAAAACTAAATTTAACATTAGTCTTTCTTTTGCATTCTGTAAAAGAGAATGACAAGGATATATTGCTGTCAAATTTAAGTTTAGGTTTAGAGCAGTGTTTCCTAACCTTTCCAATACTGCAACCCCTGTAACCTATTAGGAAAACAGATTTTACCCCGACTTTAAAATGTTATCATCAGTCCAAGAAATTTCAATTCGGCCGCTACATCTTCGTCTCTAATAATGTCATCATCAGGAGAAAATCTCGCCCCGCTTCCCACACTCAGCATCCCGCGGGCTCGCTAGCAAGAAGGAGCGCATGCTCTATTTAATAGTATTATTATATGGTATTTTCTTATTATTTAGATTTGACCAAATAATTAGGTTCTTTGTTAACCCCAAAGCATGGCTGATTTACCCCCGAAGGGGTAATTACCCCCAGGTTCGGAACCCAGGGTTTAGAGAATCATGCTAGAATCGACACCATTGAAAAATCTAGAGACTAGGAAGTTTTATTTACTGGCTGTTTTTCTATTATCTACGTTTCAGATGTATGAAACTGTAGATCTCTTCTCAAGACTTTACACTATACTAATGATTAATATGATGGTCGGAGGAATGATTCTCTTTAATCTGACTCCATTATACAGCAACTATAAAAACGGTGTTTTCTCTAAGAACCCACCCGAAAACGTAACTTATGCGTATTCTGTCACTTACTCAGTACCAGGATTTAATTTTTATGAGCATTTTACACTGACGACAATTTTGAATTGGATCATGAGCTACGACGTTTCAGTAAATGTCTGTGTAAAAGATCTGTATTTATCATTTCTTGTATTTCAAATAATTGGCCACATACAAATCTTAAAATACAATCTAGAACATTTTCCTAAGCCTAAAAATCAAGCGACTAATCGTTTTGACGCTGAAGAGAATAAGCAGATACGAAAAACGATCGCCGAGTGTGTTGATCACCATCGATTAATAGTAAGGTAAGTAATAATTGCAAAATTCGTTATTTTTTTTAGTAAAGTCATCATAGGTCTTAGAGCAACACGGCCGACGGCTACACGGCCAGGAGGGAATATGCACACAAATTCATTCTTACATACATTCGCAAAAAAAATTGTAATTACGACACACACACATCAAAAGTGACACAATATACAGTCAAATCCAGCACACATATTTAAAATGTTGTGTACAAATAAGTCACGACAAACATTTTGACACGTTCTTTACATCAAGGGGGCTGCTTGATGAGTAAAATAACTTCAATATTAGTATAGCAGAATAATTAGTCAAACATTAATAAAACTGCCATAACACCTTGTTTTGAAACTAAAGGAGATTGCTCAGCTTCCATACATGTTTGGCCTAAAGACCAATAATCATGAAAAATTGTTTTCTAGATTCAAAATTTTAAATAAATTACTGTAGAAACGAATATTATTGACGGATACCTCTGAGAACTTCTATAAACCATAAACACTGAACATATTAAAATAATAAAAAACAAATAAGTTATATAGTAAACTAGGGATATCAAGCCAAGTACCGAAATTATGGATTAGATTCAGATATTTATAGCATGTAGATAAACAGATAGTTGCCTGTTTTTAAAGTTAATGCATAAGAGTAACTTTTAAAGCCAGGTGTCATCTATGCATTTCCGGTTATAATAAGGTAGGGTACGGCCAGAGTGCACTCAGATTCTAGAGCTGTAACAAACCGTATGTATTCGTTACTAAGTAACGGGTACATCACCTAACTTCAATTAACGAATCGTTACTCACGAATACATTTCGTTACTCGTATGTGTCATACTGTACCCTTAGTACGAGTTTAAGCTCACGAAAACTATCATAGTTTTCGTAATTCTATGTCCTTCTATTAAATTATGTTTCTATGTCCATTTTGGTGAAAACTAACCAAATATACTCAAAATTGAAGAATACAGTGTTTAAATTACACTGTTTATTTGTATAGAAACGCAAACAATGAAATCAGTATCCTTAGTACGAGTACGAGCTCACGAAAACTATCATAGTTTTCATAATTCTAAAACTCGTACTAAGGGTACTGATGATCTAAAGAAAATATAACTAGAAAAAAATCCACGCGGACCAGGCAGCAGACGGGACTCGAACCCGCACCCTTCGCAATCCGGGCGAATGTACTGACTAATTATGCTACCAATCATGTCAAAATTCTTCCAGCCATTCTAAAGCTGCAAGGCAGCGCCATCTCTTCGCATTACATGGTTTAAAATAATAAAAATTATGGTACTGACTGATGATGTCGATTTGATTCTGTGTACGGACGTACGAATTCAACTGCGCATGTAATGTTGATGCTTGAATTAAAACGGTTTGTTCATCTTGCGTTGTATCATCTTAAGTTTCCTGATGAACAAATACTTAATATTGTTCGTTGAATCGAATGTATTTAAACACTCGTTACGAAAAATGATTGTTTATACAACACTGCAAGAGCTCAACAGTTAAATAATAAGTATTATGAATGTGATGACAGTTGAACTTTAATCTAGTATACTATTATAAGTATAGTTAGTAAGGAAATTGATTAAACAAAGTTTGTGACACTAGTATCGAAAGTAACGAGTAACGTAACGATACGATAGTAACGAGTATTGATTGTTATAGTAACGAATACATACGAGTACCAAATATCTCGTTACTTTTACAGCTCTATCAGATTCAGATTCAGACTCAGAAAACAAGCGCGAGAAATATAGGGTGCGGCCAGAGTGCACTCAGATTCAGAGTCAGATTCAGATTCTGAAAACAAGCGCGAGAAATAAACAGTGTAGTCTAAGCAGGTTGCCTGCTTTTTCTCGCGCTTTGTTTTCTGAGTCTGAATCTGAATCTGAATCAGGAGTGCAATCTGGCCGTACCCTTCGACTACACTGTTTATTTCTCGCGCTTGTTTTCGAAATCTGAATCTGAATCTGAATCTGAGTGCACTCTGGCCGCACCCATACAGTGTAGTTTAAGCAGGTTGCCTGCTGCCACTATGGCCACCCTGCTTTAACTTCACTGTTTATTTCTCGTGCTTGTTTTCTGAGTCTGAATCTGAATCTGAGTGCACTCTGGCCGTACCCGTACTCTGTGACAGAAACTGTTTGATGATTGTGAATGAGCCACAGATTAGAGAGATTTTTTAAACTCTCGTTATCCAAAGAAAGCTAAGAGATTTAGGTCCTATAGCCATATATTCAGTAGCTTCATTATTTTTGTTATGTTTTTAAGATAACCATATTTTAGATTTTTAGTGTATCACACCTTATACTTAATTTTATTTATTTATTAATTTATAGTCAGGCAACTTAGGGTGCGGCCAGAGTGCACTCAGATTCAGATTCAGATTCTGAAAACAAGCGCGAGAAATAAACAGTGTAGTCTAAGCAGGTTGCCTGCTTTTTCTCGCGCTTTGTTTTCTGAGTCTCAATCTGAATCTGAATCAGGAGTGCACTCTGGCCGTACCCTTCGACTACACTGTTTATTTCTCGCGCTTGTTTTCAGAATCTGAATCTGAGTGCACTCTGGCCGCACCCGTAGGCCCATAGATAGATACCTTAAAGTCTAACATATATATAGATTATAATGTGTTTATGGAGGTGTTTGGCGAAAAATGTATGGCTATAGACTTCATATGCCTGACATCATATGTCGCCTACCATAAAGGTACAATAATTGTCTGAGCACATTTGCATGTAGTGAAAATGATAATATAGTTGTGGATATTAATACCACAGTGTAATAAAAAAATGATTTATTTTATGGATCTTTACAAAATAGATTTGTTTTTATGTTATATAAACAACTTCGATCAGTCTTTGGCTGAATGTTACTACACCCATAGCCATTAAAAATTATTCGTATGTTTTCCAAACCTGTAAAATTAAAAGTCCTTTTTAAAGTAAATATATTATACAAAGGTGTCCATTGAAATCTAATGACTGTAAATTAAATTATAAATTACGCCAAGAATTACCGCGTATGTCAATATTTTTTGTGCATTTGGGCCAATTTAAGCAATCTCCTTTGGTAAAAATGCTGTAAATAGTTTAAAATACTTTAAAAATTCAGTATCGTTTATTTAGTTTAAGATATTACAATAAATGCACGTATGAAATTTGAAAAAGTACGTAAATGCTCGAAACTTTGTACTGAGTAGAACCAGCAATGTCTTCTTTTTCTGCCTATCCCAACTAACATACTAGTGTAAAATGTAGCTTTCCTTAAACTTCCAATGTCTATAATGGTGACATAATGGAGTCTGGATAATTTAAGCATTTATCAGCACCAATAACTGCACAGTAGTTAGATTCGTGTCTTCTTTGCCTCTTATAATAATAGTATTTTTTTATTAAAGGCGTCAAAAACCCAATATAATTTCACATTCAAATTATAACGCAAAATAATAAAGTGTAAACAGAGTAATAATAAATAAAAATAAATAAAATCATAAAAGCAAAATAAAACAATTAAAACAGGTAGTTAAAGAATACCTACGTGATTTACGGTTTTCGCTCTGGTGCACTGATATCCAGTATTTAAATATAGGTTATTTAGTCCTTCGCACACGGTTTTAGTTATACTGTTATCAGAAAAACATATTCTTGACCAAAAAGAGACTATACGTTTTGTCATAACAGCATAAAAGTCCGATATACGAGCATCGAATAACATGCCCCACGAGCTCAATATCTCGGTAGGTGCAATGCCCTCAAGGAGCTACGATTAAAGTTAACCCATAGCTGACAAGTACCTATAAAACATTTACAGTATGAGTAAAACAAGGTCAATTTTTACTTCATTGCTGCATTTATTAAATTTGCGCGCGAGCATCAGCACCTCACCGGAAATGCCCGAGAGGCGGACATTGTCGGTTCCATCGTCCCTTCCGTTCTCTGTAAGGATGTGCCCCAGATACCTAAATTGTTGTAAACACCCGAAGCACCGAACCATTCAACCATACATCATAAACATTCTCCGGACCCAGTCCCGCCTTGAAGACCATCACTTCTATCATTGTTGCGTTGTATTTCAACCCCTGAGGATTAGCATAACGTTCATAGATCTAAAAAAGCTTACCTTTGATTGAGGCCTTTGATTAGGCGCTGAGGAGCACCATATCATCAGCGTAGCTTATTCTAATAGTACATAAATCACCAATATGACTTTTAGACGGCTAAGGATTCGCATTTCATTTTAGACTACTTTTGATTGCATTGCATTACTAAAATATTAGCACTTTTAATTGCAGTACTTTTACGCATGAAATGCTCTGCCGATAAGATAAGAAAATATGATTAATTTACACCTTACGGTTTCCGTTATGCGAGTTATTGGCATATTTCTAGATCCCCCATCGTTACTGGCTGACTAAACGGATTGCGCTGAAATGGGCACACATATATAGCTATTTTGTGGGCGTGCGTTAAGAAAGATTTTTTCAAAACTCTCCCCTTAAGAGCGGACGCGAGCTGAGAGACATTTGAGAAATAGGTATTTCAAAAAACTATTGCTGTAGCGCATTGGCAAATACCGTGCGATAGGGATAACAGTACCTAACGCTGAAGATTGAGTATGAAATTGCAGAATTCGAGGTTTAGCTCTCGACGATTTCCTCCTCGAAAATTAGATATAACGTAAAACAAATTTTACCCATCGGATAATAAGTGGTTATACTAGACCTCTACGTTTTGTTCTTTTTTCTGTACATGCTTATGGGCTCTTTCTATTTTTATTACTGTTGTTTTGCAAGTTGCACCCCAAACTAAATCACAGTACGATATGAGTAACCGAACCAAAGAATAAAAAGCAAGCTTTAATGTAATGTAGCTGAAGTTCTAAGTTTTTTAATACAAACAGGAGCTTCCTTATTTTCGTGGATAGACTATCAACATGTTTCTAGAAAAAACAACTGTCGATTTGGTTACCCAAATATCTTATGTGAGGGGTCTTTCCAAAACACAGCAGTTACAAATTCTTGCGTTGGAGCATGTTAGTGTCTTTATACAGAAATTATTTGGCTGCGCTCTTATCGTGCTTGAGAAAGTAATAAATTTTGTTTTGTCTGTGTTAAGGGTTAATAGGTTACATGGCAGCGAACTCATCACCTGTCTAAGTCAACAATCCCTGCATTAGATTGGGCATCTTTCTAGGAAACATCTTTCACTATTAGTGCAGTATCATCTGCATAAGTGACCGCTTTATTTTAGTTGTCAATCTTAAGTTTACATAAATTATTTATGTAAATTAAGAAGAATGTCGGTCCTAAGACAGTGTTCGTTTATTGAAAGAAAATCAACGGCAGAGCTAAGCACGCCACGGAAACCTTAAAAATTATTGATGCCACCAATGTGACCGTAAAATATCTGTACAATATTATTTTTATTTCCAGTTTCGCAGATGACGTATCAGATTTCTACGGTCCCATGCTTGCTTTAAATTATATGTACCATTTAATTAGTTGCTGCCTTTTACTTCTAGAATGCTCGCAGAAGGTAAGAAATAAAAAATAAAAACTACGTTACTTAAACTAAGTAAGTATATAAATAAAATTATTATTTCAGGAACCCGATGCCTTAGCACGTTACGGACCGCTTACAGTTATTATATTCGGTCAGTTGATTTCAGTGTCCGTTGTATTTGAAATCGTTGAAACGAAGGTAAAATCAACTAAATATGGGGCTAATTGCCTAACTTTAACTCTTTCCATGGTCCCATTCAGCAAGTGAGAATGAAACATAAGCTATTATTTAATAAGCTAATCTTTTTCCTAAATATGAAATTAATGAATGACCGCGCCCGAGTTACAGCTACACAATAAGCCCCCGAGTTCACTACTATACCTTGACTCCACTACAAAACTACTTTTAACCTAATAAGACAGACACATCGAAACCAATAAGTAATTATTTTATACCTTAAGTTCCTTCCCAACTAACATAGGTACTTGTGAAAAATTAAGTATTCCTTATAGCTCCAATGTCTATAATGGTGACATGATGGTGTCAAGATTAGGTACGAGTTCGAAAATAGCTCATGGTTTCATTTGCATGGAATAGCAGAATCCTAAGCAGGGCTTGATTTAATGCAGGGCAGACGGGGCTCTGGAAAAAATTGCTTTTGAGCTCGTAAAATTACATTTTTAAATAACTATTCTATAGTTCTCTATAGACTCCATAGTCTGCAGTGTATCATGATAGTATAGGTATTTGGTAAACCAATACAAAATAGAAATGAAATCAAAGAAAATTCTTCCTATGAGCGGTACTACAATATCAGAGGGATTATTTTCTACGCTAAGGGCCTGTTTCTCAATCTGTAAAGGTTAATTACATAGAGGTTAAATCCTTTCGTTAACTTTCTTTGCGTTTCACAATCATCAAGTAGTAAATTAAAGTGTAGATTTACTAATTAATACTTGCAAATGAGTATGCTAGCAAGTTTAAAGTTATTATATAGAGAAATTTATGTGTTTCTATGAAGTATAGTAATCACATAATTATCATTAAAAATATTTTTCGTTATGATTATCAAGTATAATATAAATAAATTTATACAAAGAAATAGTTCAATGAAATGTAAAAAAGAGATTTTACCTTTTCTAAAGTAAACATGTAAAACTGGATTATGTAGTGCTAAGCGAAAAAGGTCCAAATTTTTCCGTCACGACTAGGGTTGCCACCCGTACTTTATTATAAAGTATTGTACGTTATTTCGGGTAATTTTACTCTATACGTTATGCCAACAATGAAGTACGCGAAAATACTTCATTTAATGTGATTTCCTTACTCGCGGATTAACTTTACATAAAATCTACAAAAAGAGGTTGATAGGAAAAAGTTTTGCGTAAAACGGGCAGAAAGTATGAATATGTTGTCCTTAGCTAATTCTTGCAACATTTTCGTGGCTGTGTGCCTTTGTATCATGACCATACCATTCCCATTGCGGTAAAAACTACAGTACAGTATTTTTAAGCTTACTAATAAAGTAGAATAAAAAGGACTTTATTTTGGACACAATGTACAGTTTTTTCTTCCTTTAATATCCAATGTACTTTATTACGACAAAAGAAAGGTGGCAACCCTAGTCACGACCGTTAGCTGTTTCATACCTACATATTGTGTGTTGTTGTAAACTAATACCAACTTAGGCTTATGTTTTTTTTAAAACTTCATTCCAACCGAATGTTCCTCGACACACAAGTTTACTTTTGTTAAGGAAATGCAATTTCTGTTCTGGATTTAGAACCTCAACATAATTTCTATCTATACAGAGTGAAAAGCTGCGAGACGCCGTCTACGAAATGCCGTGGGAGAGTATGGATTTGAGTAATCAACGATCGGTGTGCATCTTTCTGCGACGTTCACAAACATCCATCCAGGTCACTGCTATGGGAATGACTAGTGTCGGTGTTCAAACTATGGTCAACGTAAGTGTTGAATTAAAATCGCACACAAACCATTTCATCTGTGATTATATTGACCTACTACAAAACCGGGTAGAGCAGCCATCATAGGATAAACTATCCGTTTTTGCCATCTTCTAAAATAAAAAGCCTAACATGACCCTGAACTAGGCCGGTTTTTGTCTGTTGCGGACGTCGATCGCGGATTGTCAGTGGCTCAGGCATGGAGGCATGGACTATGCTATTTGCATGGACGTACTATACAACCTCAGGTTAGCGCTTAATGTCAGTTCACACCGATATGCATCGCAACATCGCGTGGCACATCGGAAAATTGTTGGCAGCAAGACACCTCGCGGGCGGCGCAGTGGAACGTGTCTACAATTCTACATTCGACCCACCTGGATGGATCCACCCTTTTTTTTCTTCCTCTTCCTTCTACAAGAAGTCCGATTATAACATGATCCTAGTCTATCATTTTTAATTTTCACTCGAGCACTAGACCGAACTGCATCAATTCTACAGTCCAGGCGGAAATAGTACAGACAAGTCGCTACGGCGGCCTCAGGATGCACCTCGCGGCGGTCGCTCGGCGGCTGCGCGGGTCGCAACGCTCTTACACGCTGCGTGTACCGGCGAGCATCGCTGTACACCGCGAGGCATCTCGAGGCGCAGAGTGACGCAACGTAATCTGAATTGTCACAATGAAATGCGTATCTTTTCGTGTAGTAATTAAGGTCATGTTTTGAGTCGCTCTAATAAAATGTACTGGCCTTTTCGGCTGGCCGCGTGGTGAATGTGACGTCACAGAGTTCTAGCGCTGGGGCGCGAGCGTGCGTAGAGACGCTACAAAAGTTCGAGCGGAGTGGATCACGATCGAGCTCTGTGACGTAACACGCTTCGGCCGTCAGTGAGTAGTGGCTACTATAAAATTCGTTATAAAATAGCAACGAATGAACCGATTTCGATGATTTAAAAAGTATATTCATTAAAAACTTATAAGTTCATTATACTGTTGATTTTGAGTTGATTTGCTGACCTAGTACTAATCCTCATTGCTAATTTGAACTGGTCGTAATATTAATACATAAAAAATGGTTATATTTTCTCATTATGCTTTTTTTAATGCTGAATATTTAAGGTGTCTTTTTTTCTTAATTAAAGTACACGATTTAACTTGTCCTAGAGACCGGGCAGGGATTAAGTATAGGATACAAAAAACAATCACGTTCACGTGTTTCCGCCACGAAAAATGGAGTCGAAATGATATCAGCGCCTCTTGAGTCTTGCGCCGCACTCGGCGATAGCCACTGCTAGAACTATTGTCAGCCAACATTGGTAGAAGCTCTGCGACATTGCATACTAAAGTACACGATTTAACTTGTCCTAGAGACCGGCCAGGAATTACAGAATACAAAAAAAATACACGTTCACGTGTTTACGCCACGAAACATGGAGTCGAAATGATATCAGCGCCTCTTAAGTCTTGCGCCGAGTGGCTAGAACTATTGTCAGCCAATATTGATAGAAGCTCTGCTACATTACATACTCTTAGCAGCTCCTCTTTGTATTTGCTCCATGGTCCTAACGCACATTTTTATCAGTTTTATATAAGTACAAGTACATATACCTTCTATAAAGGAGCTCGATGGCGCAAGTGGTTAGCGCGTTCGGCTGCGATCGTTGAAGTTAAGCAACTTTCGCAGTGGTCGGTCATTGGATGGGTGACCAAAAATTTACTAACTCGAGCTCCTCCGTTCTTCGGAAGGCACGTCAAGCCGTTGGTCCCGGCTGCATCTGCAGTCGTTAGCACCCGCACTGGGCCCGTGTGGTGGGTCATGGCCCAATCTCCATATTCCATCCATAAGGAAGGCCTGTGCCTCAGCAGTGACTATAATAGGCTAGTGATGATGATGATGACATATACCTTTACCAAATCTTTCCTATTACTTTGCAGATAATGAAAACATCATTCTCTTACTTCGCTTTTCTGCAATCCAGAAACGAATAGAGCTTTAGAGAATAAAAGAATTAGGCTAATTAATGTAGCACTAAACTTATGCTACTAATAATCGATTTCACTATTGGAGCATTGAACCGTTAAAATAAAATATAAAGTTAAACAGTTGGTTTTATTAAGAACTCATTTTCCATAGATTGGCACAATATTTTCTATAGGCATAGTTCGTGTCAAATTAGACAGAAAAATAAGAGGGAAGGTGCAAAATTTTATTGTACTCACTTTCAGCTTCATGTGGATATGAAGCTAAAAGTGAGTACAATAAAAATTTTCAAAACATAATTAGAAATAACATATTTGTAATTCCCCATCGTTCCGGTACATGGAAAAAAAATACTCGACATCTAAGGTCAATAAATGCGTTTTTCGCTTTTTTATCAAAATGATAAGTTTAACATAAAAATTTCTGAGACAAAAATTGTAGATCATAAAATTGTCTTTTAAAATGGCATTGAGATTTTTTTTCCTAAGAGCCACCGTTCCTGAGATATAGATTTTCGAATCCAAATCTGTAGCTGAAACTACATGTGCCCAATAAATGTATAGCGCGGCGCTCAAAGCCTAGCCTAGCCTAATATTTTTGTACTCCCATCTGCGAGAGCACGAGCCCTAATTACTGTTAAATTGATTTGTAATGATCTTAATATTTTAACTTCTCCGTTGAGTGAGCTTATACTATATTATTAAAGAGTTACAATTAATTAAGTTGAATTAAAAAAAAATAGTAAATACAAATAGTAGGTAGGTATTATACATAATATAAATTTTATAAAATGTTCACAATTCTCGAAGTCGGTAATAAAGCGAATTATTGCTAGGATTTTATATTTTAACTAGCTATGATACCCGACTTCGCTCGGGAGTTGATGAGATTAAGTTGTGTAATAAAATATGACGTAAAATGTAAAAAAAAATATTGAAAACATTTTCTCATTATATACACTACTTGTTTATAAACAACATTTTTCATTTTATTGTCCGGAGTATATTATATCTCTTATCTAATAGACAAGTCCGTCCGTCCGTCCGTGGTGCTGTTTCAGCGGCCAAACCGTAAGAGATAGGTATAAAGAATGTTTAAGTTATAAGTTAAGAATAGTCTGATAAGACTACAAACCGGATGTGAGTAACGTAGCACTTCCGGTTTTCGAGAAATCACGTGATTTCTATTTCAAACGAAACCACACAAAATCTCCGAAGTTCTCAATTAATTAAATACATTTATTTTTGGTGAACATTTGGTTCACTGGTTTGCTAGTAGGTATATAATTTTTTCGAATTTCCTACTCTTGAGCAAGCTACATATAGCTGACCGTGGGATTCTTTGAGGTTAATGCCACAATATTTTAAAGTTTGCCCTTGCGGTTTGTTAATTGTAAAACTAAAGGCTAATTTAATTGAAAACTGCAATCTTTTTAATTGAAATAGCAATTCAGAAAATATCATTGTTATATTACTTTCTCACACCTTCTTGAAGTTCAAATACTCGACAACAGATGGCGCCACTACACTTAATTCCAAAGTTCAAATACTCGACAAAAGATGGTGCCACTCCATTTAATTTCCAAGTTGAAGTGTTGGAAAAGCCCTTAAAAACACGCCCTTTAAGTTAAAACGGGAACTTTCTTGTTCGAGAGGGAATAAAGGGCTATCACACTATACAAGTCCCTTTATCGTGCCATGACACCTTTTTAAGTTTTATGGGCACGCATATTTTATCTAGTTTTATTATATTATAATGATAATATATAAATAGATTGTATAATTGGGTGTTGTAATAATATTAAGGTTCCTTTCGGCTTTCGTTTACTTACTTACTGACAGTTTGATTCAATGATGTTACTTTTGTACTTGTTATTTAATTAGTTGCACCTGCAAATGAATGAAAAGGTAGGGCAGGACAGGAAGGGGGCATCTTCATAGTTAGCCTAGGGCGATTAAAACTCTACATGAGGCCCTGACATGAGCCCAGGTGAGCCCATTGATGCTAAATAGGGATTTACTCAAGCGTTGTTGGGACCTATTGGATTGTGAAGAGTAGATGCCGTACGAAGGGGTAGAAAATAGGAATAAAAAAGTTATTCGAGCGCGTAAGCCGTTGATAAGGGATGTTACATGAACTCTCTAGTAGCTTAACGACTGACAATTTGGTGGCGACCTTAAGTACTTCTTGAAATTGCAAAAAAAAACTTGATCTTGAAATACTCGAGCACGGCTAATACTAATATTAATAGTTACTTCATCTTGATGCCCTTAACGTACTGACGTGAAGGAATTTCCAATAAAGGGGTACTGATCTGGATTCGTTAATCGACTCAGACGTAAAAGCACCCTTACCAACCCTGGTTTTAGGCTTTCGATCTGTCACTCATTAGTAGGCTGCCATCTCTAAAATGTGGCAACCAGGATCAGAGGCGTGATAACCCCGGATTTTGGAGCCCAGAACCCGGGCAGACCAATAAAAAAACAGTTAAAAATGTCACAAATCAACTATTTTTTGTTGATGTAGGCAAAAGAGCTAGCGGTCTACCTCATTATAAGTGGTCACTGCTGCCCATGGACACTTGCAGCACCAAGGAAAGCTGATCTTTGTTGGAAGTCTGCATTTATGGTTACAGTGTTAGAATAGATTTATTCATTTTCAAAGACATTTAAATTGACGGATTAATTGGCGACCCAAAACAGGAAATTTTTAAACCCGGACGACAAATGAAACCCCGCCCGACGACAAACGAAATCCGGGGAAACCCGGACGGATGGCAGCCCTACTCATTAGTTATACGTCCAAAGGATTCCAGTGTTTTGAAATAAAAGTAACAGATAAAATTAAGATGTTTTATTGACATTTTAGAACAAATCACGCATTCTATCTTCCCTTCTTTGGTCTATAAATAAATAAATTATTGCATTTGAAACTAGTATTAATCTAATACAGCTCTTATATACAACGAGGGCAAAGGGCATTTTTTCCATTGGATTCTATTTTTTAGATATTTTTCCACTACCTACTTAAATAATGATTATTAGAGATGCAACGGATAGTTGTATGACCGGATACGGGATATTCGGCCGGTGATCAGGTCGAATATCCGGTATCCGGCCGCCGAATATTCGGCCGGCCAAACGATACCTACATTTTAGTTTATCGGCGGGCGCGTTGTGCAGGTTTCAACCTGATACGTATTGTAGGTTCGCGCGGGCCGTTTTCTAGGCAAGAAACGAGTTTTATTTGGTCAGTGTACGGAACTATTTCGTATGCAGTATACGTACGTCCGCCTATTTTGCTGAATAGATAAGTTTTCTTTTGCGTTTAATGTATATACGTAATTGTGAACTCGTACTTCATTCTGTGTTTATTCTATTTGTCTAAAATAATGGCAAATAAACGATCTCCATTCTGGAACTATTTTGAAATAGAAAAAGACGATGCAAAGTATGTAGTGTGTTTAATTTGCAAATTAAAACTATCTCGTGGTGGCGAAGGGAAGAAGGCAGGGACTTCTATGAAAAACCATTTGCAAAGCAAGCATCCCGGCAAATTCTCCGAAATTTACGGTGGTCCATCTTCAACTTCAAGCAGAACTTACCGTTAGTTAATTATGAATATTATACTCTCTTTTTATTTATTTGGTAAAACTTATTTTATTTTATTAAGAATTAACATACAATACGCTACGATTGGTTGAATGGACACTAATGCTGATCATAGGATTTCTTAACTACTTTATATGGGGCTTTTTGATAAGTTTTAATTGTACGTTAAACGTAATACTAATAAACGAATATTGATAATTTCTTGTTTTTTTCTTGTATACTAACCATTTTCAATACCAAACAGAATCACTATTCGGTATCCGGCCAGATAGTGCGCAACTATCCGGTATTTGGCCGGATAGTAAAATAATGGCCACTTAGGCCGGATACCGGATAGCAACAATCCGTTGCATCTCTAATGATTATGGTATTAAGGTTGTTGGATCCCAAAATCAATATTCAATCTATTGCAAATATTATACAACGTGAGTTTGAGTTACCCGAGTCACTCAAAAATCGTATAAATAAAAATAGAGAGAAAAGGTATAAACAGTAAACGCACTATCCATAGCAAACGCAAATATGCTGAGTATTTGTTAACAATTGTTGCTTTCCTCGTGATAGAAGTGAGGCAGATATTTCAGCTAAAAAAAACGACGGGTCGCACTCCGCGAGTGCCGGCAGAAGTGAAAACTTGAATATTAACGTTATGGATTTTTGATATTTGAAATGGTTAGGGAATAATTTTGTACGAATTGCTTTAATTATTATCAGTATTCGCTATGTGCGAAGTACATGGTGGGGGTATTGTGAAACGATCGCAGCGCTTATCGTGGCAGAAATACGCAACAATCCGGGAAAGTAAAGTCAATTTGCACGGAGTTCGTAATAAATAAATTTTTTAAAAAGCCTAATAATAGATGTTGTTGTGTTGTGAACTGCAAAAATAACGGCACAAATAGTCTGTGTTTATATTTCCTACATTGGACTGGAAATTAAATCAAAGAAATAAGTGGATAGATGCCATAAAAAGAAATAAGTAAGCGAAATAACCTTAAATTATGATCAATTTTATTTGCGCTATATTTTATGTGATATTCATTATTGTCTTTATTATTTTAGTGTTGATGGGTCACCATGGTATCCCAAACCTGACGACACAATTTGTAGTGAACATTTTATCGGAAAAAAAAATCAGACGAGGAAGAAAATCAGAGTTACGCTCCTTCGAATATTCCCTGAAATATATCGAAAGAGGAAGGTTAATGATTCACAGGTCCTAGCTAGATATACACACTTGACAAAACGATGAAACACAAAAGTCTCAGATACCACATCAAGTCAAATAATAATTAAATCAAACTCAACCTTTTATGGTCGATCAAGTATGTCAAGTCAATATGTTTTCTGAATCGAAATTAAGAGACAACTTTTATTTGTATTAGATTCATTTACAACGATCACTGTGATGCTGAAATCCAAGCAGATATAGCAACAACATCAAGAATTTTAATGACAAATAATTCAAGAAATAAAGATAAAAGCTGTGGCACTGACAAAAAATCGTATGAGGATCAATCTACCGAAACAAAAAGTCAAGAATTTGTTGGTATTTCATCAATAAAAAATGATCAAGAACTCCTAGATCTTGCTGGTGTGTCATTTAGCAATTTTGAGTTTTTATTAACTATAAAAAAACTGTACAGTTTCCACTAAAGACCGACTTCTGATTTTTTTGATAACAATGAAAACTGGCTTGACCTTTTCAGCATTGAGTGTGTTATTTGGTGTACACAAAACCACAATCTCACGTATATTTCATTCGATCTTACAAAATGTAGCTTGTTCAACTGCTAATTTAATCTTTTGGCCGAATAGAGCCACCGTACAAGCAACAATGCCCAAGTGTTTCAGTCCAGATTACATCAATACAAGAGTTATTATTGACTGTACTGAATTCCGAATTGAAATGCGACATTATTTAAATTATTATACAATATATAATATTTTTTATTTATCTTTAATTTAATATAGTTACTAGAAATCAATAAAATACAAACTGATGTCATTATTTGGTATAATCCCGGAAAGTTGCGCATTGTAGGTGGCGCTACTGTCGTGCACATAGCGAATAAAAATACTATCATTTATGTGGTAGAATACAATATTTATTTATTGCGCTATCGTACACAAACATGACAATTTATATTTCATTAAAAAGTTTATCTCTCAGAAAAATCAACATGAATCACATTTAAGTGCACCTAGCGACATCTATTGTAAAAAAATGCATCATCATCGCAAATAAGCTGCCACCTGGACGTCCTAATTTGAGACTTATTATTATAATACGATAAACTAAAATATTACTATGTTTCGTCCAATATATTGAAAGTCAACAACAACCTTTCCAATTTTATTACTTGTATCATCTTACGATCATTTTCAACAGGACGTCAGGAATAACGCGATCAGGCCACTAGTCCTGACGCGAGTTTAACACTTTTTATCCATTACAAAAAAGTGTACAACGCCACTAAAGAAGTTTTCACTTCAAAAACTTTGTTAAATGTTATTTATATTAATATGTAGTTCAATTTTTAGCCGGCGATAGCGCGCAGAAATTGACTGATTACAAAGAGTTTTTATACCTTGAATCTTATTTAAATTGACCTGGGGTAGCGGAAGTTTGTAGAACCTAAAATTGCAATTCTGTTACGACAAGCAAATTCCAACCTCCACGTGTGTGAGTATCATGAACGTTCACATTATGTTGGGCACCGTCCTTCTGGCTAATAGCTAATACTTAATCGCGTATCGCTAACTTTCAAATTCAAATTATCTTTATTTATACATATCAAATCACATCATACCAAACGCTCTCATTCAGTTTCATGTCTAATGGCGGGTTTGTACGATCAAAATTCAAGCAATTCCCGCATCTCGCATCCACATTCAAATAGGAAGACTCCTGCTGACTTTAAAAAGCCTAAAGCACGGTCTCACCAGGGAGCTAATTGTCTAACTTTACCTGTTTCGCTTAACCTTAAATATCTCTTTACCCAACTATCAAATTCAAAGGGGTCACGGAAACGAGGTTATACAATTCAGTACCCTTAGTACGAGTTTACAATTACGAAAACTATGATAGTTTTCGTGAGCTCGCACTCGTACTAAGGGTACAGCTAAAAGAGCAAAACGTAGTTCCTTTCGCTTACATTCATGTCACACAACAATGAGAGCTAATTGAAGCTAAGCGAAGTGGGTTCAGACCGGAAACCCTCTCCTCACCCCAGCGCGATGAACGGCGCTTGCTTCGTTACTTTCACCGGGTTTGCCGACTCGCAAATTCAGAGCGGCAACTTACATGCCGTTTTGATTCGGTCCGTTGAGAAAATAATGAAAACGGAAGATGCAAATTGAATTCAAAAGTGAGACATATCAACACCCGTCCCATGTATCACAGAGCGCCCATTTTATTCTTAACAGTGTCATTCTGTAACAACGAAATTTTCTCTTCTTTTTACCGCGTAATTTAAAATTAGCATACGAATTTCAAATCACACATCGGATTCCGCGGTGAAAAGTAAGTTTGTTCTTACAGAATAGACACTGGAGATCGAGTCAAAATGGCGGCATGAATATTGTTGCTCTCGCATCTCTGGCATCCTGTAGCCCTGTCGTTTGCAGTAGTTGCAAATGCGGTAAGGAATCGACATATAATGTGCAGCAAGACGTACTTTGTTTCTATCGCAATGTAGCCCGTGCTTAAGAGTATTATTCAAACTACTTAACTCTATCTCTACTTTTGTATGTGGCTAACTACCCATTAGCACTTTTTACATTTTCTAGGTAATAATACGCAATTAACGTTAAGTAGAGCTAGAGAATCATTAATTTAATTTGACCTAGGAATTTGCTATAAATGGTCTTGAGATATAACTTCCAAGTTTTATCGTGAGGACCAGAAAACAGTGCTCCCCATAATTTGTCCAGCAATGGAGTTAATATTTAAAATTAAAAACAAATAAGACAAGGAAACACTGTCTTAATTACAAAACTTATCTTTTATTAGTAAATATTCTCTAGTGGATTTGACGATTTACATGGCGCAGTGGAGAGACAAAGCCTTCTACTAACCGAGTGATTGATAAGTAAGATTCTTATGATACATTAAAAAAAACTAACAAGTGAACTTCTTAGCAACCTTCTATCTACAAACTTTTGCTACCTCAGAATTTTTAAGAGTTGCTTTACTATTATCTTTTAAACATGACGGAAAGCACTATAAAGCGCAAAAGAAGAAAGCAAAACATTCATATAACATATAATTTTGTCAGCAACATACTCTTTACTTGTGCCCATACAAAATTCTTTAAATGGGATTCAACGATTACACAGAATTAAATATCTAATGTTCATCTGAAAAATGGAAATCAAAATTAGGACCCAATGGAATTGTTACGACGCAACGGGCAGGACAATTTACACCTTTATCGTCTTTGGAAGCTGAAGATTTTTATAAGCATGAAGCCCATGACTGTGGCTGCTGCGACGCCGATGCCGGCTTTCCACCACGACGAGTTGTCCCCAGCCAGACTTGCAAAGTGCTTCAAGTGTCTGTAAAAAATATATTAATATTAGTAAATGTATCGCAATGAGGATGACCAGGGGATGTAAAATAGCGATACGGTTTTCATACGTTTTTATAATATTGTCTATTTTTTTTTCTTCAAATATAAAAAGATTTCATTAGACATCAAGTGAACCTATTATAAATGAATTATTAAATGATTTGTAGTATAATGAGTAAAATTTAAAATTGAAGAATTCATAAATTAAACGTATTTTTGAGGTTTTGTCAAATGGCGCCATTTTAGACCCCCAATTAATTCAGTATCTTAGGCTGATCATACTGTCTGAATAAGAATCTGAATTCATATTACTGGTTCAGAACGAACGGAATTACATACAATTTTATTACTAGTCACACACATTCTGATTATTTCAGATCACCTTCATATTCATCTTGATTCATCGTCAGATTGATCTTACAGAATGAATCTGACAAGCGTTATGAAGTCATAATAATTATGAAAATGTAGAATATGAATTCCAAACACACCTGCATTATCTTCGAAGAGTACACACAAATGAAATCAGATTTGATAGAGTCTGGTCATAACCACTGGATTGAGTTGCATATAGCCTACAGATTATCTCGATAGAACGCCACTACATACCAAGATTGGAAAAATTAGCGTACATGGTAACAATCCAGCAAATATCATAAATAATTATAATCTTAGTGACAATGAAAGTTTAAAATAATATGAATTTGTCAATTGATATAATCTCTCTAATGTGTGATTGACAGTTTACACTAGACTTATTTAGAGACATTCGCGAGACAACCTGATCAAACTGATCCTGATCAAACCATAGATCAAACGAAATTTATAAGACTTGTGAGGCAAAGCACCGGAATAGGCTTGTATCCAAAAATTTAATTATCGATTAATTCTTTTCTTTATTAGATATTTAACAGAAATAACAGATTTTTTCTTCAAAAATCGATCAGTAACATTTTAATTTTATGTTTTTTATAAACTTGTGCGAATTTGCCGCGAAAACGCTCTAATCCTGTCATGGCGTATGAATGACGTCACACAGTGCAATACAAAACGCACCGTGAACAGCAATTGATACTTTGCTTTGCTTTATTTAACTTAAAAATGGATTCTACGTTTTATAAGTATTGTATAGTGCCTAAGTGTAAAAGCACAAGTATAATGACACCAAATAAATAATATTTTACACTTGTTTTTACTTACATTGTAGTTTTCACATTGCGAAATTCCGAAGAGCAAAAATCAATGTTTCTCGCGAAAAATGATCCGAGCATAAAAACATCTATTTTTGGTAAATTCGTAGAATTTGCTTTGCTAAATCCAGACTGCATCGCTAATTATATGAAACTAGTGAAATAGACGGCAAAACTGGTTATCTATTAAGTCAAAATGCAAAAAAATAGGGATGAATTCTTCGTTCACTACTGTGTTTACTACTAAAATGTCAACGACAAAAATGGCGGATGCACTCTGTGACGTAACGCTTTCTGATTGATGTTTACTGTCACATGACTAAATCCTTTTTTTTCAGTTTTAAAATCCTTGAAATAATATTAATCTTTCTATTTCATTGTAAATAATAATCTTCATTGACATCTTTTAACAATAATAAAACTATAAATACCACAATAAACCCGATTTAATATTAGTGGACACAAGCCTATTCATATCATGAATTTATAATAGGGATCCAAATTCTGATTCAGACTGTGTAAGGCCAGCCTAATACCGTTCTATCGACAACGGTTACAATCGATCTCGGCCAGCTGCAAAATTACAATTCGAATTCATAGCCATAGCTGACAATTGAGTTATCTGCATCGGAACCGCCATATGATAAGGACGAAAGGATTACATTACTTTTTTTTTTTTGTAAAAGGCCCTGCCAAGACAGACAGCAGGCAGTAAGCGAAGCGTTTGCGACAAATAACGAAAATTACAATACCTGTACGCGTCAAAGTAATGCATAATGCGATTCAAATAAGAATAGGAAAGGAAAGAAAAAAAAAGAAGGAAAACCTTCATCTGTCAAATGTCGCTTGAAAAGTAAGGTTTGCAAAAAAATCTTGGAGCCCTTTTTTAGCACTCAGCTAATTCTCGAATAAAAACCAAACATTTGCAAAAAAACAATAACAATTTGTTAATTAATATTGGTTGATTTTTTTTTTCATTTATTGAGCTTTAGCTATGAATGGTTGATAACCTAAATCGGCAACCAAATGTCACTTTAAGTTGCGTTCAGTAACTCGATTTAAAACTTTCGTTTACATAAAGGATGTTCGTAAGTGACCTACTCATAGTAATAGTGCATGATTATTCATAACTACTTCGGCGGTAATTCAGAGATGAGCGGAATTGAAGAACTAGATTCTGTTTGATGTTTTTTCTCACACAGTCTTAAAAAAATAAATATAATTAAAAATCGACTGTATTATTTCTCAATCTTAGTTAATGAAATCTATTAAAAAAATCTGATGATTTTCTCAATAAAACTTTTTTTGCTCACTCTACCTATTTGGTTTGAATTGACAGCTATGACGTCACAATATGGCGCCCAGTCAGTCCTATTCTTAGTTGAATCGCATTATATCAAATTAGTTATATTATACTCTATAAAACCTACAATTATCATTTCATAAAAAAAATAGGTATGTTTAAGCATTTGTAGTAGTTTGCGTATAATTTATATATCATCAAATGTTTTGTCCTTGGACTAAAGAAAGTAATTAAATTCACCTGGCTGCAGTTTCAACACTAGGTTAATATTAAAATACAATATAAAATTGTAGTAAGTATTATTTTAATTTATAACTTATATTTTTTTCGATATTCGAGTTTATTAGTTCCCATCTTGTTAATTGTTATCATCCCTAATGCATCATACCGCGGCGATGTCATATCGGTTTTTATAAATAATTTAGTATATAAAGACTAGAGAATTGCGAAGATGTGTCGATTGAATAAATAATTTATAAACAAACAACAAATAAACACGAGGAGGTCGACGGTGCCGTGGTTACCACCCTTAGATTAAAACAAAAAGGGTAGATACGGTACGCTCTTACTTGCATCAAACAAAAACTGATCCCACTTTACTACATATGCAACACTCACACATCCACCTGTTTGTAAAGATACAATCGAACGAACGAAACAGCAATATAAGTTTCAACGGCAGCGCGAACGGGACGGCGAGATCCGCGTCACTGCGCTACCGACCAATCACGCGACCAGTACTCGACGTCACTACAGAGTAGCGTCAGAGAAAAAAATAAAAGTATTTTTTATTAAATATAAGTTTTTTATTAAAATTCAATAAAATAAATTCCACATTGAGCAATTTTCAATCTACTTTGAAAAGCTGAGGGAATGAAACTGTTTACAAGTATACCTACTAAAAGTAGGTTTTTTACATGATAACGTCAACATTTTTTTAAGGTATCTTATACTGCTGGATGTGGTCATTTTTATTGTATTCGGTGTTTAAAAGAATCTAATCGAGATACAATTTTTACTAGAAACTTTACACTTATTATATTTCAATACCAATCATAAACTGATTGTTCAATAAATAAAAAGAAAACTAAAATAATATTAAAAAAGTTAAAATCAGACACACATTATTATATCACCTGATAAAAAATCAGTTAACAAGCGTACCTACTAAAAGTAGGTTTTTTATACGATACCGTCAACAATTTTTTAAGATACCTTGTACTGCTGGATTTGGAAATTTTCATCGTCTACAGTATTTAAAAGAATCTAATCCGAAACACTTATTATATTTCTCTTCTAAGCATGAATTGCTTGTTTTATAAATCTAATCTAAACTATACTTTGAATTATTCATTTAAATAATAAAAAAATATAATGGTAAAATTAAATAACAAAAACAATAATCATCATCGATAAATAAAAATAAACATAAGATATGCCTTGGGCTTTTCAGCGCGTTCATATGTCCCGGAAAATGTTGCCTTCTGTCAAAAAGCGCAAGATAGAATAACTTGGCCACGTGCTCAGGAACGATAGATACATGCTGCTGCAGTTGATAATGATAGGCAAAGTGGACGGAAAGAGACGTGCTGGGCGAAGAAAAAAGTCATGGCTCCGGAATATCCGGGAGTGGACCGGTATTGCCTCCGTCGAACAGTTGTTCCGGCTGGCTGCTGATAGAACTACATACAGGAAGCTAACGGCCAACCTTCAGGATTGAAGAGGCACTGGAAGAAGAAGATTACAAAAACAATTTTAAACCCTACAAAGAATGAAAACGCCATTTCTGTAAGTACAGAGTATATTAAAGCTAAAATGTCTGAAAAAATTAATAAACCTTTTCGAAGAACCCAAAATGTAATGAGTTTAATAAATGCAGCATATTTTTTACCTACATAAATTAATATACCAAAAAAAAAATTAAGAAATATTTTTTTTGTTGACTCTACCCAATTTTTACTCTCGACTGACATTACAATGGCAAATATTCGCGCTTATGCTTTTTCTCCCTCAAACAAACGTTTACAAGTGTTGTTGTCTTTTTCTTAATAACAAATACCGAATAAGATTCAAAACAAACAGCATTTTTATGAAAAAATATATTTTATAGTACTTACGAATGAAAAGTGATGCCGTCGGTTTTATTTTTAGTACTTGAGCAATTTGAGCACTTTTTAAAACAACACTTAGGCATTGTTTTATCATATAATCACAACATTTTAGCAATATTTCTTTTTGACGTTCACATGTACGTCATTTGCATGTCAAGTTGTGACTAAAGCGATTGTGGCCTTGGGCCACAATTTATGCGGACCACTTTTGTGAGGCTAGTTGCGGCTAGCCGCTAGCGGCTAGTGCCGTATCTACCTTTTTTGTTTTTATCTAAGTTACCACCCTACAATACGAACTGCGCCCGTGTGGTGGGTCATGGAACAATCTCCCTTTTCCACCCAATCAACAAAATAGCGTCTCTTAACATATCTCCCATTCGCCTCCTAGTGCCTCAGCAATGGAAAAACTAATATTGGTATATGATGATGAATAAATGAAATTACGAAAATAAAAATATAAGTACCTTAAGTGAACTATTTCACACGAAAGTTTCATTTTCTTTAACTAATTCTTCGCTTTGATTTGGTTTGTAGTCTGGCAGAAGCATTAGCATGATTTAAATAAACCTGCAAGGGATGGTATACAGTGGACATTCCTTGCAGATAGCAGAGATCTTACACGATTTATAACAGATCCAAGTCTTAGTACAAGTTCCTGCTAAGGTTCAGGTTAAGGTTCCTACAAATAATACTAGCTTTAATCCATAGAAAAAGACAATATTAATTTGATATTTTGTATCGGCTAAATATAGTTTAAGTTAAATTGATATTTAGAAAAATTACTGCAAGTGGACCCAAGTAAATAATGTGTCCTAGATGTTACTTACCTGTGCTTGCTGAATAAAATCCAAGCTGCTTGAAATTGACTGATAAAAATGATTAGAACAATATTCTGGCACAACATTTCATACATTGTAATAAATGATATGGATTACCTATATTATTATATGCTGTATTAGTATTTAATGAAACAGTTGTTAATAAACAATAATATACATTATTTATGATGCATTTGAGTACGATGCCTTTATTTTAATACATACATAAAATAACAAGATTAGTTATGAGCTTGACGTATGTATTAAATACAAAAATGTTTTGGTATTTAACTCGGCAAAGAACTCGCGAAGATGTTTATACCTACACCCGCCGCGGGCGGCCGCAGAGCTATTTTATTTGAAAACTCACGAGACCACACGTTTTCTGCATCCCCCCGCAGCCGTATCGAATGCGAGAATTTATGTTAGAGTTGTGCTTCCGCAACCGCAGCGGGTGCGGGTTAAAATTGCTCCGTAACTTCTTAACCTGACAAAGTGTGCCTACAAAGGATTTTATACTACACCTGCTAGGAAAGTGCTTACATCTTGTTTTAAAAATGAAGCTGGAAAAATCTTATTACTGTTGTTCTAATAACAATTACATGGACGGATGGATGGAAAAACTTTTGTATTCGCTTCATATTTGGTTTGCGCAAATATGATCACTTTTCTCAATTTCGTTAGCAGCTCAAGTGGCTACCTATTCGCCTTCGCCGGAATACTCATATTCTTACTCTTCTCTACAACATATTGTTCAATCCTAAGCCCCCGCGCTATCTTAAGGAATGTTTTAATTTCCTTCACACTTCTAACACGTTATCTCTTAGGTCATCAGAGAATCTTACCCTCCTATCACAGTACAACTTTTTACAGTCACTCATTTACAGTTCGAGCCGTTCAGCTGTGGAATTCTCTCCCAGTGTCGATACGAAGTGCGGAATCGATTCACATTTTTAAGAATCTCATGCAGTCTCACTATTTGTCTTTGTAATTTTTTTTCTTTTTTGTTTTATAATCTCATTTGTAATTTCTACCGACTGGACTAGATTTATGTATGTATTTGTATGTATATATTTATATAATAAATAAATCAAAAATAAAATTCATAAATACATATTATATATATATATATATATATATATATATATATATATATATATATATATATATATATGTATTTATGAATATAAAATATATGTGTATTTATTTGTTTATGTATATGTATATATTAATAAATTACATTGAAATTTACGCCGCCGTCTCTACCATTTCCTTCTAATCCTCTCCATCCAAAGGTTGTCTGGAAGAGATCGCTTTTAGCGATAAGGCGGGTGGCCTTTGTTTTTATTGTAACACTTAATTCAAATGCTCTGTATTTATTGTAATGTTTTCTGTGGTGTTCAATAAAGTGTTTTGTATTGTGTTGTACATGGAAAAGTGTACACAAATCCATTTTTAACGTACTGAGCGGGCAGAAGTCTATGGAAATTCATTGTTAATGTGCTGTTTTTTTAATAACTTTTTTTGTGTTCCGAGAAGTGGTCAGTAAGATTTTGCAGATATTGAAATCTTTTTTGTTTAAGATTAACAGTAAAAAGCGCGCTGAATATTATAACTGAGTTCTTAATTTATATTCCTATCTATTAGAGACGGAGACGGCGTACATTACTGATAATAAAGATTTGCTTCTTAAATTTTCACGCAACCACTCATTCAGTGGCGGCGCTAGGCGTCTGCGACGTCGGCCACCGCCGACGACCTCGTGCCTGAGGGGGCCTCGCAAAAAATTTTTACAAGTTACCTATTTATTTTCGTTTCTCCTGGCCTGGCTTAGGTAGCCGACCCCGAACAATTCGGGGAAAAAGCTAAGCAGATGATAATGACTTTTATTATTTTCGAACACGTACGTGATGGAAGTGAGTACTTTACGGGTATTCAGAATCGTCTGTCTGGCAACACTATTTTTGTAATTAAATTTCTATGTTTGTAATTATTTTTTGTCATCATTTGATTATCAGCAATAAAACTCGTTTACTCATACGTTATTTTATAATTTGGCTCACTTAATTTAACGGTTTTTTACTGCGAAGTAAAATAGGCCTCGCGAACTTGATGTGGCCGACGTCCACATGTGGTCTAGCGCCGCCACTGCACTCATTAAATAAAACACGCTTACAAGTCATCACAAAATAATAGGCCCGTTTCGACATTTGTCATTGAACATGATCATATACTTATTGGAAATTAATTCTAAACTTGAAAAAAATAATTATTTCTAAAGAAAAGTTTACTAGAAAAAAAAAAAGTCCCGTCCGCTGCCTGGTCCGCGTGGATTTTTTTCTAGTAAACTTTTCTTTAGATTTAAACATCTAGCAGTTAAATGCTTAAAAAATAAATAGAATCATAACTAAAAATAATTACTGTTAGAGACGTGCAGTTTGTCAAAATTTATCGAATCGGTAATTTCGGGACGTAGAATATTTTTTTTACAAAATCATATTAAATTTGACAAATGATTTCCTCGCAGGTATAGTATAAAGCACTACTAGAAAACCTCGAAAGAGAGTGCAATTCCCAACTTAGGTGTATTTGTTCTCAAACTAGCTAAGGGCGATAACGCCCTTAGCTTGATATATAAATATCAAGATAGTTTTGCAACTTTATATCTAAAGTAGAACTTTTTATTAGCTGCAGTAAAATGACGTTATGTGGGTTACCGCTTTTTGAAGAAAAATAAATAGGGATGTAGCTAAATGAGTAAATGAATCATTCAATAAATGAGTGATCAGTTTGGTTTTATTTTAGAGATTTAATATTGTATCGGCGTTATGCGTACTCTTCAATAAAACTCAGTTGTTTACTTGAATAATGCGTATATTGCGAATATAATTACAAAAAAAATAAAATTAAACGAAAATAGCGAAAGAAAGTTGAGCGTACAAAAATTTGAATTGCGTAGAGAGTGAAGTGTTGAGGGGGTTTTTTTGATCACGTGGGTCAAAGTTGCTTCTACTGGTAGAAATGGAGCGACGTTCCGGTGCAGGCAGAACTTCTTACTCATGCGTCAACAAATATTAAGTTGTAATGTTTTTTTATTCTATTATTATTACTTTAGTAAAGGATTGATCTTTTTCAGTGGAAGTATAAGAACGTACATCCAAAATTAAACAAAATTGTCATAACAATGTTATTTATTAATCAATCATTTTCGGAATCACTATCGCTTCCGGTCACACTAATGACAAATCTGTCTGTCACTTCATCTATAATATGATCGAGGTGGCATATTTTGTCTTCCTCTTTTATAGTGTGAGACACACAGTCACTCCACTTAGTCGGTGTCACTTTGATGATTCCTTCTTGGAATAAAGTTTTCACTTCTTGCATTTTATATGTTTTATTATTGTTTGCGACGTGCCCCTTTACCTGAGCCCAAACCAACTCGATGGGGTTCAATTCACAGTCTTAAAAGTCTGATACCTTTTTCAGCAATCTCGTCCACGGCATATTTCTCAGTATGATTTTGTTGTTTTACAATATCTATGAGAGTCGCCTTCACCATATTTGGTTCAAATGTAATATTTTTAGTGGTCAGCCACTCTTGAATTCGTGCTTACGTCCACGAAATCTTTGGGATTGTTTCGATCTTCCTAGAATGATAGGGCGCGTTGTCCATTACGACTACTGCATTCGGCTTGAGTCTGGGTAGAATGCCGTCGAACCACTCCTCGAAACACTGCGTTCATTTCATCATGGTAATCTTCTGTACCTTTCTTTGCTTCAAACATAAGAAGTCCGTCGTCCAGGAAGCCTCCTTCTCCGCCTATGTGACTGATTATGAGTCGTTTGCCCTTTCCTGTGGGATTTTTTAATCCCGTAGTTAGACCGCCTAAAAATGCGTGCCGAGAAGATTTTATACTTCCACCACTCCAGACTTATTTTGTAGTATGACCTGAAAGAACAAAAAATAATCATATGTTTCGACAGCTAAATAAAAGGGGATCAAACATAGAAAACTAAGAGTTGCCACTTACCAGCGTTGATCCAGGTCTCGTCTTGATAATATATGTATCTTCCCTCCCTACGATATTGTTTGATTAAACGCAGGTAGCGCTGGCGCCATGATATGATATCTTGTCTGTCAATAAGTACGCTCTTGCGTGTTCGAGTAGCGAATTTGAAATTAAGATGCTTCATAATTTTTCTCAAAGTCTCTTTCGAGAAGTTGGGCAATAAAATTCTGAGTCATCATTTACAACTTGCAGCACCTAAAAATTATTGACTTATTATTACCTAATTGGTTAAAATTTCACATGGGGTGGGAGAAAACATATTATACCTAACGAATAGTAATAAGATTAGTGATGACAGGTAAACTAACCTTTGCGATGGTTGGTACTTCATTTCTATGACAGAACTGATGTACAATTCGTCTAATAGCGGTGAATGTGAAATCATCAAGTTTTTCTTTAAATGTAAGTTTTGGGCCAGAGTTTTCGGGAGGTTTTAGTGATTCACAGTCGTTCTCCTTGTGCTCCTTTAAAACGGAATAAACAGGATATTCCCAAGACTTCAGCCACCTTGTTGACGCATTCACTTGTTTTTGGAACTTAAATGTTTGTCTGTAGATTTCACTTCAAACACATATTTTTAAACGTTTCTGACCCAAAGTTTCTCGGTTGCACTTAGAGCTACACGTGACCTTATTTTCTTAGGAGATAAAAATGTATCTCCATCTTGTGATGTGCTCAACTGAGCATCCATGTCTTCGATGTAACAAATAAAAAAAGCTGACACGATTATCAAAAATAAGTAGGTAACGAAAAACAAACACAACGTAACAAAAATTTAACAATAAAGATAACTAAAACAACTCGCAGTGGGCAAAGCAAAGTTATTCGTGCACTCAAAATAGAAGTTAGAAGCCGAATGAGCGAATGACAAATAAAAAAAAATGGCGGACAAGCGTCATCGTAGCACCGTAACTGAAAACCTGTACCAACTTGAGATTTTATACAGCCTTTTATTTATATGAATAATAAATAGAATTCTATGTAATATATATATTAAATGATCATTATGAGTTACTTATGGAACGATTAGATTTTCTGTGAACCTAAGCACATCCCTATTGAAATTAGGCTGTCAAAATTATTTTACGGAATGACATTTTGAAACGCCATTTTACTGCAGCTATTAAAAAGTCGAAGTATAGCTGTAAAACAATCACTCGTTGACTAACGAAAAAAATATTTTTTCCACAACGCTCTAAATTCACTCATAAGCCAAAACGTTTTTAGCAAGAACGCTTTACATTACCCGGCCTGTATTGCGTTACTACGTAATATTTTAATAAGTATATGACTATTTAAATTTCATGGATACAGCAAAACAGACAGTCCTAAGCCTGGTAAAGTAGAGTACAAAGGGAATTCAGTAAAAATAGAAGATGCTTAAGGAACATTCAGACAATAAACTATTCTCATTAAGTTAGTTATTTTAGTGTATTGTTGATAATGTTCGACGACGTTGTGAAAATAGACAGTTTTCAAAAATAGAAAGTTATTACGTTATTCATAAACAAATAACGTTTTCGTTTCGTGATTTCAAATAACGATAACGACACATTGCTATCTCAAACAACACCCTCGTTGGTAATCGGTACCTTTCTCCCCTCGGTAAACAATATACTATTTTTATTTTAATTATCCTACCTATCCACAGAGCACCCCACTAGAGTATGTAAATTTGTTTTTATCGAAATGCCAAAGTTGTGGCATGTGAGGAGGATAAGCTGCGCTTTGATTGGACACATCAGGCTGACGTCGATGTCGGCTGACAAATTTGGTGAAACGACCGCGACGTTTTGGGGGAATGTCACACGCTTATGCAGTATTGTTGCACAAGTGTATGCGCTCTCTGGTGCGGGTGCCTGTAACTATAGGGACATGATATCGAATCCAATAGTTAACTCATATCACTACTTTTGATTCGGAACTAGTACTTAAAATATCGTTACTTCAATTCAATACTCTGTACTAATAAGAGTACGTTTTTTTTACTTTGCCTTATAACGGGTTAAAAACGTCACATGAGTTTTGTTTGTTTCGACTTATTGCTTTGAAACACAATTTTTGTATTTCACAATAAAAATATTTTTTTTATTTATTTTTAATCTGACAGTCTCAAGTATAAATCATGCATACTAAACACTAACGGAACGCAGAGAAACGTTCATTTTTGAAATGATATATGAGTAAAAAGAAATGGAAATGTAAACCCCTTCCCCCTTCACTCATAGTTCCGATATTGACTCATACTTCAGTTTCTACTTTTACGCATAAAATACTTTAGTTTCGATATTGATGATACTAAGAAGGTATCGATACTTTTGGATTCGATATCGAGTCCCGATCTGAAAACAACGCAATGAATAGAGCTACAACGATCTTTATGAATGTAGCGAAAATTTGAACTACCGCCGTCTTTGTAAACGTCATATTTTATGTCATTGACGAAGACATGGGCGCCCTCCTTGAACAATCACAGTTCATGTAGGATGTAAAGATAGACAGTATATCAAAAATTTAATTGTGCATGTGTGCGTATTTGTGTTTAATTGTGAGTGATAGTATAGATTTGTCAAGATATGCTTTGAACACAGGATACTATAACACAAAAGGAATTGCATAAGCACAATTATACTCTTAGTTTCACAGAATTTCATCATAAATTATATTACAGTACGGCCTGACAGGATGCTTTTGGCTCTAACTTTATTGGAACAAAGGTACATCTGTTCTTAGATTAAAACAAAAAGGGTAGATAGGGCACTAGCCTCACAAAAGTGATCCGCATGAATTGTGGTTCACGACCCTAATCGCTTTAGTCACAACTTGGCATGCAAACGACGTACATGTGAACGCCAAAAAGAAATATTGCTAATATTTTGTGTTTATATGATAAAAAATGCCTAAGTGTTTTTAAAAAGTGCTCAAATTGCTCAAGAACTAAAAATAAAACCCACGGCATCACTTTTCATTCGTAAGTACTATAAAATATATTTTTGCATAAAAATTGCTGTTTGTTTTCAATCTTATTCGGTAGTGACGTCGAGTACTGGTCGCGTGATTGGTCGGTAGTGCAGTGACGCGGATCTCGCCGTCTCGTTCACGCTGCCGTTATAACTTAACGTGCTGTTTCGTTCGAGTCGGTACTTAATGCAGTGACGCGGATCTCGCCGTCCCGTTCGCGCTGCCGTGGGATCAGTTTTTGTTTGATGCAATGCGATGTATGACCCTTTTTGTTATAATCTAAGCATCTGTTGCGTCTCTTTCTACTTTGTAGGATTGTCGTAAGGACGCGATATCTCTTTCCCTCACCCTGTCAGTCTTTAAACACAAAGTCTATGACTGTCACTCACATTCATAAAGATCCTTGTCGCAAATGCAGGTATGTTTATTTACGGGATTTACTCACGGGAAAGCCGCCATGGTAGCGAGTTTGACAAACACGTCGTGCTTGTTCTCGCGCACGTGGAACGTCTGCGGCGGCAGCAGCTGGTACTTGGCGCAGAACACGTCCGGCTGCAAGATGTACTCCTGGCGCGCGGGCAGCGTCTCGCAACGGGTGCCCACTATCAGCACCGGGATGTGGCTCTCCGCGAAGTATTTCTATTAGGAACGAGTTCATCGAGTCCATTAAGATTATGAAAATAAATCCTACTGATATTATATATGCTGTAACGTATTAAAAACGTCACATGAGTTTTGTTTAGTTGCAGTTATAGGGAGGAAAGAAGCCCTCTCTGTTTAGGTTATGTTGTCTCGCTTTGTCCATTTTGTTTTTCGAATGCAACAAAATACTAATTGACTTGATTTTTGCTTGGTTGTGCTAGTTTTTACCCGATTGCGCAATGCAAGAGCGCGAAGCGCGACGCGCAGACAAGGTAGTGTTTAACAGTCTATATATGTATGTATGTTCCTTTGTGGCACACTAGAAACGAAACGCGTGGACCGATTTTAATTATTCATACACCAATCGATTCGTCTTAATCATGGGAGTGCTACTAAAGATATGATAGTAATCAAAATTCAATATTGGAATAATAAGGCGCCATATTGTGACAAAGTAAAAAAAATAAGTTGACGAAATATGTCTATAGTCTATTCACTTTGGCCTGAGACAAAATGTAAACAAAGAATCTGAGGTTCTAAAACTTTTTAATGTCAGAAAGTACCTACTAGTCAGTGATCAGGTCCAGCTTCACCACTCATTAATATAGTCACTAAAACGTCAATTCAACAAGAAAACAATCACAGACAACTTTAAACTTATCAGTTAAAAAAAATAACAAAAATGAAACAAGGAAATAACATGAATTTAACAATTATGATAGAATATGCACGCTCGCGTCTACAGGTTGATCGGGAGAGTAAAGATGGCTGACGTAAAAAACCAACCGATTATAAAATACAACATTTCAAAGTAAAATACTTATATCATGTCTACTCTTAAATTTTGTCGTATTATAATACGTCTTAGTATGGGAATGATTGTGTTTTTAGATCTTTTTCCATGTCAACTGAAGTTGTTAAAATACTTTTATCAGCAATATAAAAATATACTAATTTATGATGTGTATGTACGTTAAATATAATGTAAAATATATTATTTTCTTATTGAAATGTATTTACCAGCTTTTAAAAAAAATAACTTAATGTTTCACTGCATTTCCTATGTAAATAGTATTTAATTTTTACTTTTGTCAAGTGACATTAAAAAGTGTCCTCTTCATGGTTTGTTTACATTTTGTCTCATGCCAATGTGAATAGACTATAGTGGGGTATCATTGTCTAGATAATTGAAAATCTTATTTAGGTTCCTTACACCATTTTTTATTTTATGTCTTTTTAGGATCTACGCCGATTTAAAGTTGCATATCAACCATTTGCGCGTTAAATTTCAATGTTACGATTGTAGAGATCGTTGTTACTCTTTCACTCAAAATATACTAAATGGATTTTAATGAAACTTAACAATAATATAGCTCATATATAATAAAAACATATAGATAATAATTTATATAGTTATTGAGTGAATTGGCCGGCCAAAATATAACGAATAAGTGTCAGTAAGACGGAAAAAACTCCCATCTGCGAGCCACTTTGGCCTGCACTGCAAAAACAATAAAAGTTACATGAATATAATGTATAGAGTAAATGTATCTCTTAAATAGTTCTTAAAAAAAGTCCGCTACAGTGTAAGCCATTATCGCTAAAATAGCGAATCAAAAATAAAATATTAGTTAATATAGATTTCTAAAATATACATTTTGTATTAATAAATTATTTTATGTCAAAATAAATACTTTTATAGTTTTTGATGTTTAAAGACGATAAACTTTGCCCTTTACACTATGTCATTTCGACAAATATTTAAAGTCACAACGATGACAAAATGAGAGCGCGGTGTACAATGCACTTAGAGCAATGCTCTAAGGCGGCCTCTAAACGGTCAATTATATTTCGCAATATTGCGAATTGTACAATATAATTGACCGTTTAGGGTTAATATTGAAGATTGCGCAATGATTGACCGAAAGTTTGAGAGTCTAATTTTCATTATAGAGTGAGAGAGTTAATATTGCGCAATATTTTTCAATATGTGGTTCGTTGTCACGAGGAGTACACGCGCGCATGAAAAAAAAAAAAAAAGAATCCAAAAGTTAAGGAAAGTGAGTTTATCTGTGAATATATCCAATTGTTCAGAGAATTGCCGTCTCTGTGGAATGTCAAGACCGTGATAAAAAAAACATTGCTTACGAAACATTGTTGTCTAAATACAAAGTAATGTTTCCACAGGCTCTATTCTCTGACTGATCACGAAAACATTGTGCAGTTCGTATTATTGTGCAGTATAATTGCTCGTTTGGATTCAGAGAACCTTTCAATCTTATTGTACAATAAAAGTATTGCACGACGTTATTGTAGGTCTAAAGGCCGCCTAAGACTATACAGGAGTAGACTGCGGGAATAGTCGGAGAAGAAATTTTGGTGAATTTTGCTGTTATAGACGTAGATAAAACCTAAGAGGAAAAGAAAATAATTGGCTACTCGCATCGGTATCTAATCCTATATGAAGTACTTACAATGAAACTGTGAAACAGTTCCTTCTTATTAAATGATGAAAATAAATTATCATAATAAGTATTTATGATTATTGAAATTTAATGAAAAACACAGAATTATAAAAGTTTATTTTAACGATATTACTTCATGTTACTAAAAGGTTACTTAACATAATGAGAAATAACCTATTATTATGGCTAGTAGGTAAATACTTGATTTCTTGTATTTATTAATCAGCTCGCGATAATGTTGGTTTTGTAATTATAAACGATAATTCTGCAAATTCTAAGCAAATAATATAAAATTTTAAAGATAAATAACCCCTTCCATTACCCCCATAATTATTTCGATAATGTAACTTAAAACCAAGGTCCCATCTATTTTTATAGGGAAATTCATCATAATCGATTTAACTATTGGGACGCGGAAATGTGGATTTTTTCAAGTGGAAGTTTTCTTAAGATTTATAAATCGAGCAGATAAACAAGTCCAGTAGTCTATAATTCTGTTAAGGGACAAAGCAACTTTAATAGTCGGGTTTATTCGCAGTAATATAAATCAGTCGGGTTTTTTATTTTTTTTATATACTTTAGTTTTGTTTCCTTTTTTGGCTTAACAAGACTTCACGAACACTGAATCCTTTGCTTTCCTCTTGGAAAGAGTAAAATGAAGTAAAAAGAGTTTTGGCCAGATTTCATCGAGTGCGCTTGACGAACACATCGTGCTTGTTCTCGCGCACGTGGAGCGTCTGCGTCGGCAGCAGCTGCTACTTGGCGCAGAACATGTCCGGCTGCAGGATGTATTCTTGGCACGCGGGCAGCGCCTCGTAACAGGTGCCCATTCTGAGCAACGGGATGTGGCTCACCGCGAAGTATTTCTATCAGGAACGTTTTCATTGTGTCCATTAAGATTATATAAATAAATCCTACTGATATTATAAATGTCACATGAGTTTTATTAATTGAAGTGACAGGAAGGAGAGAAGCCCTCTCTGTTTAGGTTAGGTTGTCTCGCTTTGTCCATTTTCTTTTTCGAATGGAACAAAATACTAATTGACCGTTTTTGCATAGTTGTGCTAGTTTTTTTGTTTTATTTTAGGCTTAACAAGACTTCACGAAAACTGGATCCTTTGCTTTCCTCTTGGAAAGAGTATAACGAAGTAAAAAGAGTTTTCGGCCAGATTTCATCGAATGCCTGACTTGAGCTTGACGAACACATCGTGCTTGTTCTCGTGCACGTGGAGCTGCGGCGGCAGCAGCTGCTACTTGTTGCAGAACATGTCCGGCTGTGGGATGTATTCCTGGCGCGCGGGCAACGCCTCGCAACGGGCGCTAATTATCAACAACCGGATGTGGCTCTCCGCGAAGTATTTCTATTGGTAACGATCTTACTAACGCCATGACTCACAATGTATATCCGGGCGATGTACTCGAAGGAGCGAGCGGCGGCGACGTCGTACACGAGGCAGGCCACGTCACAGTTGACCTCATGCGGCTGCAGCGGGTCTGAGACGCGCGTGATGGGTATCTCGCGCAGCACCAGGCTCTTCTCCTGCCCGTACACCAGCACAGTGTTGATGCAACAGTTCTCAGAGCTGTTGCCGTCGCCGCGCTCGTGGGCGTGAGGCTTTATTTTCTGCGGAAAACATTATTATCATCATTAGCCTTCGGCATTAGAATACTAACATAATGGACAAATGGAATTGTTCTGCGCAAATTTTATTTGATGCCAAATGGGGCTGATCATGGCTGCACAATTTAACACACATGTAACCTTTTTATTTTCTTTTTTAACCCTGAATCACAAATAAAATATTTGATTGATTGACTGATAGCCTATTAATGTCCTGCTGGGGCACAGGCCTTCTCTATGGAAGAAATAAGCAGACTGTATCGAGACCCAACACATGGGCCCAATGCGGATTGGTGGCTACTAACGACTGCAGATGCAGGTGGGACTTATGGCTAAATGTGCTTTCCGAAGCACGGAAGAGCACAAGATTAAAAATTTTTGGTCACCCATCCAATGATCGAAAGTTACATAGCTTCTTCGACCGCAAGGCTGCGCTAACCACCTGCGCCATCGAGCTCCTCTACAATAACATGCTTGCAAATACGCGTATGGTATGGTATTAGTAATTAATAGAATCATCCGTCTACCCTCACACAGTACATTGAACATAGCAACGGCAACCACATGCAGCTGCTGAGGCTGGTACCTAGTTAATGCTGTACAGATAGCGAAACTGCCAAAGGACAATGGGCAAAACGCACCCAGCTCCGCCAACAATGTAATTAGTAGGAATCGATAGATCTATGAAAAACTAGCCATTTTTATTATGGCACCAAAAAAAAATAACCTGGGGGTCAAAAGATATACACCTGGGTATGTTCTATATTAGGGGTTAAGGTTTCCGCACATAGTCCTTATAGACGACTTTTGTGTGTAAGTCACGGGGACCGGTTACACACGGGCATATTTAAATAGCTCCTTATAGAGAAGCTCGATGGCGCAGGTGGTTAGCGCGTTCGGTTGCGATCGTTGAAGTTAAGCAACTTCCGCAGTGGTCGGTCATTGGATGGGTGACCAAAAACATCTATCTCAACAGTTGGTCCCGGCTGCATCTGCAGTCGTTAGCACCCGCCAATCCGCACTGGGCCCGCGTGGTGGGTCATGGCCCAATCTCCCTATTTCATCCATAGGGAAGGCCTGTGCCCCAGCAGTGGGGACATTAATAGGCTGATGATGATGATATTTAAATAGCTAAAGAAATTCATTCAATATCAATAATACTTTCGTTTTATCATATTAGCAATAATAAGTGAGTGAATCATATATTACTGTACAACCAGATACAAAATACTAAACAACAAAGCCTACCGACTATCCTGCTTGCTTGCTGCTTGCACTTACTGAGACTCCTCAAAAACAGGGTATGGGGGTTGAAGGATGTGATATTGCAGTTGCCGTTGCAACTAGTCTACTCGTATGCAGTCCTATGTCTTACATTTTGTGCGCTCCCTGTTATTTCATTGATATTTAACTAACACGCTTTAGAAATAGGAACACGATTATCATCGCGTACGTCATTATAATCGTACGAGCTAATAAAAAATCTATGGATCCATTTAAATGCTCGTACTCAGCACACAAACATCTGCCCCCACCAGGATTCGAACCCGGGACCTCTCGAGCCAGCGACACCATGAAACCCGGCGCACAAACCACTCGACTCGGATATATTAATTGACGACCTCCGTGGTCGTCAATTAATATATCCGTTCTATATACTCGTCCTTGTATCTTTAAATATTATGTTCGTTATAGTTACTTTTACCTATGGAATTGTACCTATTTAACTTAAAATAACTAAAGACTCCCGGGATGGAATTTGATGCGCTTTGGCACAAATGATCATGACTATGATACCTTTCAAACAAATGTAGTTTAAGCCGTGGCGGACGTGGGTGCAGTGTCCATGCAATTTTGCCCATTGTCCTTTGACCATGTTATCATTATAACTATAGAAATATACCAACTAGAAACACTAACCTTATGAGCTATACCCAAGAAACTCCGACAAATAGATGTTTTCCCACACGACCTTGGACCAATGACGTGACACTGGTAAACATTGCGGCTAGACTGTTTTTTGGCAATATCAACCTTTTTCTCACGAGTTACTGAAAATATCACAGTTATGAAATAAACGCCAAAAATACATTTCTTCAGGACCATTTTGCAGTTCATAGTACAAACAATAACTTGTAACTTACTGTGTACAGCAGACTTTTGTGATTCGTTTTCAAGAAAATTGTAACCTAAATAAGCTAAATATGCACTTGTATTTTGTAAATCTAATAAAGTCATTAAAGTCCATCTACACATCCAACCTTGCATTGTCAGGTAACCCTAAAAACAACAAAGCATATATTAACATGTAGCAATAAACAAAATTATTTTTTCATTAAATTTGACAGAAAAATTAATGATGATGATACAAACTTTCTCGCTAGTTAGTTTGTGCTTGTGATACTGGTTATAGTGAATGAAAATACCTTCTCGTTAGTAGGAACAGTGTAACGTAGGTTGTGCCATGGTATTCTTGGACAACAAGCAAATACATTTTTCAATTCTGTTGGGTTCAGCATGCCATCCTTGTCTTTATCATATTTTTCAAATACTTGGGTCAGGAATTGCTGCCCCTTGTATGACAATTCAGATGTACAGCCAACAGGAACTTTAAAGCTATAACAAAACAATAAAGCCATGTTTGTCTGAAAATATCATTAATTAGTAAATAATTTCTCAAAATTATCCAACACTTGTGCACTCACTTTACATATAAATATTCATGATTTAATTCTAAACTTTCGTCATAGCCAAACTTGCGGAGTACTGTCCATGTAGTCTCATTTCTTCCCCTTTGAATAAATAAGCAATGAAGAAAAATAAAGCCTTTTATTGTTATACCATCATTTTCAATACCACCAGGGATGTTTTGAGCAATTACTGATTTCACTTCATCTAAAACCTGTAAAATCAATACATGAAGGTGATACAATTTACCAAAACAACAACAAATGTACACTAACCTTTCTTCTTACTTTCTACTAACAGAGTGAAACCAAAGAGCTGATGACTCACCAAAGCCAGTACAAATAATATAGTGTCCATAGAGACACTTTTAATACAATAGTATATAGTACTAGCTACTTTGGGTCAGAATAGTCCCAAACCCTAACTCTACAGACCCCTGGAAACCTTACTAATGCCAGGATCATAATACTGAAGAATAGTGATATGTAATTTTTTAATCCTCTTATTATGGTCAACCTAGGGTCTGCCTTTGACTAAATAAAGAAGAGAAGCTCATGTTACAAAATCATACCTGTAATTGCAATGGTGTATCAAAACATTTTCTCTGAAAGATAGTCACTTCATAGTCATCAAGAACACCATCACCATTCAAATCACATATCTTGAATATTCGAGAGAGAGCTTTTTTGCATTTTTCTGTCAACTAAAATAGAAATATAAACATGTAAATTATAGCAGTAGGTAACAATCTAATGTGACTCCTGCTGCATGGTCACAACATCTAACCCAATGTTATCAAAACAATTATTTACCATAAATGTAACCTTACAAACATGCTTACATAATAATTATTATTGGGCATAATATTAATGTAAACATAAGATAGTAACTGGACAATTCTTTCGCACTCTGTTGAAGTGCCTAAATATATCACAAAAGCTTCATAATATTATTTTAATGTAGAATGTTAAAGTTTAAAATGATGACTGATTTTGCCTCTTAGAGGACTGAACAATTAATTTGCATAATTCTAGTTACTTACCTCTTGCTCTTCAATAGAATATATTGGACTAATAGGATGTAAAACTGCTTTTTGTGCATTATAAAACATTTCTGATACATTTATAAGGTTTTTTGCTGAACATTCTATGCATCTATCCACTTCTGGATACTCCTCTGCAATATCCCAAATATTCTAGAAAGGTTAAAACATAAAATATCAAATTATTTTAAATTTAAATGCTTTATTTGATTTGTTCATATATTAAACTGAGAATTTTTCCTTTAAATGCTTTGTTACTAATGTAACTATTTCTTTGATCATATATTTATATAATTAGACATTTAAAGAACACAAACATAAAACTATATAGCTTAACCTACTTAATTACTTAAATAAATAATTTTAAAAATGAAAAATGTCACCCCCCGTGCCGCTATCAGGAATAGTGCCCTAAATATACTTACATCAATTATGGAATAATCTATTAAATCTATTTTGTTTCCTACTAGAATTACAGGTTTCCTCAAGTCATGATGGCAGTTATCTCTGACAAAAGGCAGCCAATGCGAAGCAATTTTACTCAATGTTTCCTGTCTGTCTACTGAAAATACTATACAAATTACATGTGACTTTTCTATTTCTTCTACAATTTGTTCCGGTGATTGCTCAGCAACTGCAATGTTATCAAACCCGTTATTAAAATACCGTAATTTTAAGTATTATATCAACAGGATTATGTTGTAAATTCAGTCATACCACAAATATCAACTATGTTAGTCGGTACTTGCTCAGGAGTAACATCAGCAGGAATCGTAATTTCTTCTGCTTTAGATGGTACATGTTCAGTAAATTCTTCTGTAACTAGTGAAAGTATCAAAGAAGTTTTCCCGACTCCTGGATCTCCGAGTAATAGAATTCGCACTGTCCTAGGAAGCGACTCGTACACCATTTTCACAAACGGTAGAACAAAATAAAACAATATGAAAACATGACAATTTAATTATTTTGTTATTACACAATGAGGCAGGTACATAACTTTCATTCCTTTGAAATAAATTGCTGCAATTTTTATTGTATTCTAATATTTATACCGATTTAACTTTAACACAGATTACAGAGATTATGTCATGTCAGCACAGATTACGTAGTCACAGAATATTTTTTATACTCAAATAAGTGCTCTACACACTATCCATCAATACATAGAGAAAGTAATCACTATTTAGTAGCGATTCACGTATGATACGATGATTTACGTAGATAGACAGAGTGATGGATCCAGCCCGTATATGGGATAGTAATATACACGTAAAAGAGGTGAAGATGCGGGAACTTTTTTGGAAATCTGGTTATAGTGCGTGATTTTTGGTATTATTTATACTATATCTATGGTAAGTATGGCAACCCTGTTCCCAAACCACCAAGGAGTTTATACCAAGTTTATACCTTACAAAATAACGACACAAACATTCCTTCCTTCATTTAGCTTTAGATAATCACGCCAGAATCGACACCAGTATCTTTACTAACTTCCAAATTTCAAGAACTTCAAGAAAGTTTGAGTTTCCACATGACCAAGGAACTGTGGTAAGTGCGTAATTAATTAACACCATTGATAGACATCATTGTTCAATTGTATCAATACTATCAATATCTGCCTATTCTCTATAGTGTTGATAGTGCTCATTCTTGTACCACACACCCTTGGGCAGGAGTCGTGTGCGTTATTTGGCATTTCCCGCCAAAGCCCCAAACATTACAATGAGTGCTGATAAAGAGATCACAGTACCCCAGGAGGGTATCGCGACTAGCGAGGAATCCCTCACCAAGCCTGTCTGGTCTGTCCCGCGTATTCTGGGGGGGACAACCAGCGCTCAGGGAAGGGCACAAGCCTGGACCTGTCTGGCCTAGCTGAGGCCATAACTTCAGCTACAACAAGCTCAACAAGCAACACAACACCCACACTTACACAGTGGACTGTGACCGCTCATAAGCGCCCCTGCAAAGGGAAGTCTGCTAATGTGGCGGCCACCCACAAACACGCAAATAAAGGTTCGCAGGGCCGAACAGAACGCAGTCGCCCCAACAGGCGCGCGAGAAGGGAAGCCCTGCAGCCCAAAACCAAAACAGACAGCACACAGTCGGTCACCGCAGCAGTGGAAACACAGCGCGAGCCTGTAGAAATACAGGGGGCCGACAAAACAAACACACACAAACAACCACGACGGAGACCGAAACCGAGGGGTGATCGTGGTCGGCGGATCGCTGCGGAGGCTCCCACTGCTCCTGAAAAGGAGCAGCCTGGGACTGCGTGTGGATCGGGCGAGGCAGCTTCTACGAAGCGGCCACGATTGGATGACACGCAGTCTCCAAGGGGGGATGCCAAACGCGCGAAAACCGACGCGAAGACGAAGCGGACGGTGAGCTACGCAGATGCGAGTAAATCGCATCTGAGAGTAGCGGTCACCACCGTCCCGCCGAGGGACCTCTCGGCTGAGCAGCTGAAGGAGACCATCGACGATGGGATCCTGCAGGCAGTTCTGGCTCCGCAGTCTCCAGATGCGCAGGCTCCAGCTTTCCGCGGGCGACCCTTCCTTTCGGACGGGGTGCTAGCGATGTGGTGTGAGGATGAGAACGCACACAAGTTGCTTGAACAAATGGTGAAAACCATCCCATCACCCATACCGAACACCACATTGACGGTCATTAGGCTGTCGGATGTGAAGAAGAAACTCAGAGCTGGGCTTCTTCTCCACACCCGCATCACTGAGTCTGCCACACTGCAGAAACTCCTTTGTGCCCAGAACCCCTGGTACAAGGTCGAGTCCTGGCAGTACTACGACATGACCGTGGATGACAAACCGGACAGCAGCTCTAAGGAGAAGGTGGTCCACCTGATCCTTGGAATCCCCGAAGACCAAAAACCAACAATACTGGACAGGGAACGCCGTGTTGCACACATGTCTGGCAGTGGATATATCCGCTTTTTGGCAACAAACGAAGCAACAGTGGTTGACCCGACAGTAGCAACACCGAGTGCTACTACAGAGCAGGAAGGCGCTGCGATCCCGACACCCACCACCTCAGCTCCCCAACCGGGTCCGAGCGCGATGGAAGAGGAAGCAGACCTGAGCTCTGAGGACAGCGTTAGCGACGAAGATAGCGTCCTTCGCAGTCCCTAGTAGCACCATCACTATAATCCAGACCAATCTCCAGCACAAGCAGATAGCGGCGGCCACACTACGCAGAGTGCTGGAGACAAACAACATGACCGTCGCCCTGATTCAGGAACCCTGGATCAGAAATAATAGGATCTGCGGTCTGAACAACATCGGTGGTAAGTTACTTTTAAACACATCTGTCGATAAACCAAGGACATGTATTTTTACACCCAAGTCTATAAGAACAACCATGCTTAACCAATTCTGTTCTAGAGACCTCACAGCTGTGACGATCCCCACAGATAACCAAACAGTCCTGGTACTAGCTTCAGTCTACATGCCGAATGAGGGGGAAATTCCTCCGAGGGAGCTGACCGAAATGGTACGACACTGCGAGGACCACAAATGGGAGCTGATTGTAGCGGCAGACTGCAACGCACATCACTCACTGTGGGGAAGTAAGGACACAAACAAAAGGGGTGAGTTATTAACTGAATACTTATTCCAAACCAACCTTAACATCATGAACATTGGGACGGAGCCCACATTTGTTAGCTCTAGGTACCAAACTATCATAGATATAACACTAGCGACACACGCGGTGGCCAATCTAATCGAAGAATGGCACGTGTCAAACGAACCCTCCTTTGCAGACCACCGCAGGATATGTTTCCAATTACAATACAGACAAACAGACCCTGTTCCATATCGCAACCCCCGAAAAACAGATATAGCAAGGTACGCAGAACTAATAAATAAAACACTATGCGAGATGCAAATACACGATGAAATCCCTGACATAAACAACATAGAAACAAACGTACAGTTCTTCACTTCAGCGCTTCTTAAAAGCTACGAACTGACGTGTCCTACCATCGTACCGAAAGGCCTGGGTAAAAGTTCCTGGTGGGGGCCAAAACTTGAGAAACTACGTAAGGAACTCAGGACACTTTTCAATCGAGCGAAAAACACCAGAACCAATGAGGACTGGGACAGATATAAAATAGCACAAAAACACTACAAGAAGCGGATCAGATTCCGGAGCAGAGAAGGATGGCGCGGTTTCTGTAGTAGTGTCAATTCAACAAATCAAGCTGCCAAACTCAAGAAAGTTCTGTCCAAGGACAACTCCAACCTCCTTGGATCTCTGAAAAGGGAAGACGGCACTTATACAAAAACAGAAGAAGAAGCCAATGCGGTGCTACTGGAAACCCACTTCCCAGGATGCCAACTGGCGCCAGGCCTGGAGTGGACGACTGAGCACCACAATGCACCAACAACCCAGGAATGGGACCTGGCAAAAACAATAGTTACGGCGGAAAAGATAGAATGGGCTCTAAAAAGCTTTCAACCATTTAAGTCAGCGGGACTAGATGGTATATTCCCGGCGCTACTACAATGGCAACTAGGTCAAGCAATTAGATACCTACAACCTATCTTTAGGGCCTGCCTGGCCTTCAAGTACATACCAAAACCATGGAGGGAGGCAAAAGTAGTCTTCTTACCGAAACCAGGCAAGGACGACTACACACAAGCCAAATCCTTCAGACCAATAAGCCTAACCTCTTTTCTCTTAAAAGCATTGGAAAGATTGGTAGACCGACACCTTAGGGATGGAGCACTAAGTAAGGCTCCGCTGCACCCTCAACAACATGCCTACAGGAAAGGCAGATCAACAGAGTCGGCACTGCATTCAGTAGTCCACAAAATAGAGTCGGCAATCACAAATAAAATCTCAACACTGGCAGCCTTCATAGACATAGAAGGTGCGTTTGACAAAACGATGCACAACAGCATTAACCACGCCCTAAGAAAACTCAAGGTGGACCAAGTCACCAGAGGTTGGATCACCGAACTGGTTGGCAAAAGGGCGGTTCAGATAGTGGGGAACGCTACCACGCGTGCGAAGGTAGTCAGAGGATGCCCACAAGGGGGAGTCCTATCACCACTTCTCTGGAACATAGTAGTGGACAGTCTCATACGGAGTCTGAATGACAGAGGATACACTACTATTGGTTATGCGGACGACCTAACAATTCTGATAAATGGGAACGCTGAAAATGTCCTTTGCAAGGTTATGCGTTCAGCCCTTCAGATTGTGGAGAAATGGTGTGACGAACATCACTTGTCAGTAAACCCGAACAAGACAGAGCTAGTCCTTTTCACCAACAAAAGGAAGCTACCTGAACTACAGTTACCAAAACTGTTTAATACCAAACTCTCCCTATCAACACAAGTGAAATATCTGGGCGTAATCCTTGATAACAAACTGAATTGGGCGAGTCATATTGATTTAAAAACAAAGAAGGCCTGCATAGCTTTTAATCAGTGTAGAAGACTAGTTGGTAAAAAGTGGGGTCTAGTTCAGTTGTTTGGTGGCCCAGGACCCAACTGACCACAGTGAAATCAAAACTCCAAAGTCTACAACGCTTGGCGAGCGTAGCAGCAACTGGATGCATGAGAACAACTCCATCGGCTGCATTAGAGTACCTCATGAATTTAAGACCATTGGACCTGGTCATACAAGAAGAGGCGAAAGCAGCAGCCTTGAGACTAAAGTCTCTAGGATTATGGAGATTAAATACTGTAACAACACACTCCAATATTCTACAAAAGTGCACGAAGGAGATCCCACTCCTGGAGGCACCTATGGATAGAATATTAAGTCAACACGTCTTTGATCGAAGATACAATATCCAACTTACCGCGGAAAAGGCAGATTACTCCGGCGCCGGGGAAGTTAGGATATACACGGATGGCTCCAAAACCAACGGTGGCACTGGAGCCG